TTCTCCTACTTCTAACATAAGTTATCTAGTAGTATTTATGTGTTCTTTTAAGCAACCTTAAATCTTATGAGAGAATACGATGAGACATATATAATGTTAGAAGCCCTGTGCATGAATTCATTCATAGGTAGGGTCCCTCGGCCAGGCCAGCAATGGGGGCCAATTGGGGCCAACTGGCCAGATGGAGGGCCCACAGCAGGTTGGTTATGGGAGCACAGTGACCACCAGGAGGCAGCTCCTGTGTTGAGCATCTGTCCCCTGGTAGTTAGTGTACATCATAGTGACAAGTTGACTGGTCAGTTGTTCAGTCGCTTAGGCTTTTATATATATATATATATATATATATATATATATATATATATATATATATAAAATTGTGATGTGTTAATGTTTTGCTAAGAACATGGTGGATTCCAATTACTTTGCCACCTGAAGAAGTAGGAGAACCTTTGCTTTAGAATATTAGCTGCTAAGAGGGCAGAGAACATTATTTGTAATAACCTATCAAATCACATTCTTATCACCAGCTAGCAGTTTTTAAAGATCTATATGGTGCATTGCTGTAAAGTCCTGTCTTCACAGTCTACATGTGAATCTAGACAGTCCTACAATCTAGCATGCTGACCATTCTTTCCCATTTAGACTCTAGCAATTTATCTATTTCTCCCTGTTTTTGTTTGTTTTTTATTGATTTCAGAGAGGAAGGAAAGAGGGAGAGTGAGATAGAAACATCAGTGATGAGACAGAATTATTGATCGGCTGCCTCTTACAGGTCTACACTGGGGATTGAACCTGTAATCTGGGAATGTGCCCTGACCAGGAATTGAACCATGGCCTTCTACCTGGTTCATAGGTCGACACTCAACCACTGAGTCATATCGGCTGGGCCTACTTTCCCCTGTTTTAAGCCTCCTTAAACCAATTGGCAAACAAATTTTCTCATTGAGTAAATTTCTACTTACTACTGTTTTACATTATCCCATTTGTCTCTAGATAATTTACAATAATTTCTGGATCACATTCTAGGACTGTGGACTCAGGATATAATGTTAATGTCTACATCTCCTGTTAAAAAATTTCCAGCCTCCACTGCAGAGAAAAACATAATTAGGTCAGTTAAACCCACTGAAGAAAGTCAATGCAACTGTTCAATATTCCATTTAGCCTGGATAATTAAAGCCTGGCCTTTATGTGAAAGTCTCCGACCTCTGGCTGTGTGTGCAGTTGAATCAGACTCTCTACCTAGAGGGAAAAGCATGGAGTTACAGGAAGAAAATAGAGTGGTTATAAAAAAAATTCATGATGATGGCCAACCTGGCTTGGCTCAGTGGATAGAGCGGAGGCCTTCAGACGGATGGATCCTGGGTTCAATTCCAGTCAAGGGCACATGCCTGGGTTGTGGGCTCGATCACCAGTAGGGGCCATGCAGGAGGCAGCTGATTCTCATCATTGATGTTCTATCACTCTCTCCCTCTCCCTTCCTCTCTGAAATCAATAAAAAATATTAAAAAATTAATGATGATTGCACAGCAGTGTCAACGTGCCTAACACCACCAAGCTGTACACTTGTAAAACTTGCCATTTCGACCATTTTTGTTATGTATATTTTACCACAATTTAAAAAAGTAATGAGTGGTATTCAATACCTTACCACAAGGTGTTGAATATAGCAGAAATAACAATTGTTCATAATAATGAATGCCATTATATTGATTTTATAGTATGCCTATTTATACTATTATTGTTATTAATCATGTTAACATTAGTGATAATTAATACCTATATAGCACTTGCTCTCTGTCAAGGACTATTCTAAGCACTACATAGAAATGTAGCTTTTGTCACTGTCTCCTCAGAAAATGAAAGCTTTATGCCATCTGTCACATCTGTGGAATCACAGATTCCAGACTTCCCAAAAGCCTCTCAGTCAACAAGGAGGAACAGGTGAGATCAGTAGGACAGGTAAAGCCATTACCAAATTTCTTGCCAAAAAGAGCAGGGGAATGTATGAAAGCATCTGTACATCATTCCTGAGACATTGAGAAGCTGCCCTAAATGTAAAATATGAAGGTGCAGATGAATTTGAGAGGCTCAGATGTGGGCTAGTGGGAAAACACAACAACACAGAGCAATCACATCAGCACTCTAACATCTTGTCATTATCCAGATGTACCTGCGTGACTGCCTCCTATCTCAGTTAGTCAGTGTCCCACACGGGACACACTTTCACCCACTTTCTCCTTCCTGCATTCCCTCTGGTCAGCATGTCTGGTCCTGCCAACCTGAGCGAGCCAGTGTGCATCCATCACATTACCAGTAAAGCTCACTTTCAGTCTGGTCTCCACCGTCTACCATTCACAGTTGGCAGATTAGGGACACGTTTTGTATCTGTATGTTTCTCTTAACTCACCGTCAGATCCCCGGGTCCTTCCAGGTAGCTGTTGTTTTTATTTCTTTTGACCTTGCAAATGTACTGGACTTACAGGCATGGTGTGGGGATGAGAGATGGAGAGATATAGTTGGGTACCTCCTCCACAGTGTCAGATTGTGTACCCAGGGAGTAGGGAGAATGAGTGGGTATGTCAGGAAAAGCTTACAGGGACCTGAATCTAAGTAAAAAGCTCTTCCACTTCTCTGGTCTTCATTGACCTTTATCCCAGTCCGGTTCTTTGGGGTTCTGCCAGGATCCCCTTAATATTTGCCCACTGTGTTCAAGGTCAGGGTCAAATCACCTTCTCCAAAAGTTTCCACAGGCTGACTGCATCCTACCAGGGTTACTCCTTTTATTGACTTTTTACCAGGGACTCCTCAGGGAGAAATCTTCCTACGGTCTGTGTTCGCTTCCCGAGCATGTATTCTCCAGCCAACCAACTAGGCAACAAGTGTTTGAAGAGCCAGAGTGGTGTGTTTTATTTATTCTTTTATTCTCTCCCCAACAATGCCCATCACAGTGCTTTGCTGAGTTTGCCCAAATGGTTCTGAACTCAAAAGATAGTGATCATTTAGTTATTCTAAAGAGTGTCACAAAGTTTGTAATTCCTCTTAACAACATGAAAAAATCCCGGAGAACTGATGCCATGTTTCCTCTGACCCTTTGTATCTGCGATACACTCATGGCCTCTCTTTCCCCACTCATCCCCCGTGATGAATAATGTCAGGTTGTATCTGTTTGTTTCTTTTTCCAAGTCATGAGTCCACTGTGAGTCACCAATTTATTTCCCATAGCAACCAGTTATTACATAACAGAGAGTAGAGTAGATTATGTCAGTGAGATGCTCCAAGTTGTAATTTCATCTAAATGACTTCAAAGAGAGGAATAAAAATACGTGGCTTTATTTCAAAATAAAAGCGGTTTTAACATTTCTACACAAATCAGGTATAACCCAAACATTTTATTGATCTCCAAAGTAATTTTCATATCAATGAATAGTTCCTATTAATATTCATGTCCACCTGCCTGGGGCGGATGAATCATAATTGTTATGACTATCATTTCCACTTTATGGAACAGAAACCAGACTGAAGGAGAGTCTGGGAGTCTGAGCATCTGGTTTCCAGTTTCACCTCTGACTCGGACTAGCAATGGCCTCAGGCAGGGGGTGGAAGCGTCAGGGTCCTTTCTTTTTATGTGGTGGGTAATGAAGCTGGATCCCTGCTCCATTCTCATCTCTCCCTTCCCTGCTGCTCCGCATGATTTCCTTGCTTCTATGTATAATATTATACCTCTGTAGATAAGAAGAGATCCCACCCCTTTCTACAGAAGAAGGGCCTATTGCAAAGTGCAAATGTCAGACTCATTATTAAAAAATTATTAAGAACTTCAACAGAGTGACCACAGAGCATTACATTGGCCAGAAGCCAGGACTAACAGGAATAGCTGCATTGGGCCAGTGGGTAACAGCTGTCCCTTACGTGAGCCTTTGTTTGAAACAGTGCCATGTAAACATCAGCTGAAATGAAGCCAAAGTTCCAAGTTCTGTGTCTAGGGACCCCGGATGTTGAACGTCCGTATTGTGCCATCAGCTCAAGGGAAAGTAGGTCAGATTCACAAGGCCAACAGGACTGCTGAGAATATGTTGAGTTTTCCTAGTGGCGGGGGAGGGAAGAGAGTCAGAAAAACCACTGTCATGTGGGTATGACGGGCATTTAAAGCATTCTTCGTTCACATGATAAGATTGCTTTCCTCTCCACTGTCAAGAAAATGAACATTAAAAAATCTCATTTGTTTCCTTTACTCTTAAATCATAGTGTGTGTGTGTTTTAAAATATATTTCTTATTGATATCAGAGAAGAATGGAGAGAAAGGGAGAGAAAGAAACATCAATGATGAGAAAGAATCATTGATTGGCTGCCTCCTGTATGCCCCACACTGGGGATCTAGCTCACAACCCAAGCATGTGCCCTTGATGGGGAATCTATAATAGCCATGACCTCCTGGTTCATAGGTCAATGTTCAACAACTGGGCCATTGTGTGTGTGTGTGTGTGTGTGTTTAAAAAATATTTTTATGCCGAGACCGGTTTGGCTCAATGGATAGAGCGTCGGCTTGGGGACTGAAGGGACCCGGGTTCGATTCCGGTCAAGGGCATGTACCTTGGCTGCGGGCATATCCCCAGTAGGGGGTGTGCAAGAGGCAGCTAATCGATGACTCTCTCTCATCGATGTTTCTATCTCTCTATCTCTCTCCCTTCCTCTCTGTACAAAATCAATAAAATATATTTAAAAAAAAAAATAAAAAAAAATAAAAAATATTTTTATTGAGTTTTTACAGAGATGAAGAGAGAGTTAGAAACATTGATGAGAGAGAAACATCGATCAGCTGCCTCTTGCACACCCCCTCCTGGGGATGTGCCCGCAACCAAAGTACATACCCTTGATGGGAATCGAACCAGGGATCTTTCAGTCCACAGGCCAACGCTCTATCCACTGAACCAAACCGGTTTTGGCCGTTGTGTGTTTTTTTTTTAAAGAAAAATGTAGAAGTGACAGCTACCCAGGTATGGTTTTAAAAATTAATATCTCTTTTATTAATATGTTCAGGGTTTAAAAGAACTATGGTGAAGCATGTTAACTACTTGAATAGAATATTACTTTACAGAGCATATTTAATCATTGTGAAAGATAAGCCATTTTCTTGTTGGTTCTTGATATTTTCCCATTTACATTCCAATTAATGCAAAAATAACAGCTATCATCTCAATTAATGGTAGCCAAGAGTTACATTATAAAAATTTCACATACAAAATTTTATTCTCTAATAGAGAATTTAACATAGCTATAAAATACATGGCCCACTCTAAGTGGCTTGAAATGTTTAAGAGTCCTTCCTGTCTCTTTGAATATTCAATTCTAGTAAACATCACAGCCGAAGAGCTCCAGGCGAAGGGCAATACTTTGATTCCACATTTTTGGGATGATACGGATAAACCTGGAGATGATTGGAGGGTTGAAAAAGTTCTTCACATGCCCATTGACATTACTATTTCCTTCAAAAACCTGAAAGCAAAAGATGAGAAAATCCTTAATGCTAGTATAATGAGTATACATGTCTTACAGTTCATTTTAAATTATTTTTGTTCAAACCAAAGGCATCCAAGAACACAGACAACCCTCAATGAAATCCCACTCCAGACAGGCCTCGTTAGGAATGCCGCTCTCCAGGGATCTGAGCTGACGTAGGGGAAGATAAAACATTTGATGGGTGTATGGGGCAGCTACAAGCCCAGCTCTGCCCTCAGGCCCTTCCCCACTGAGTGACTCGGAGCCAGTTAAGTTTTCTGATTCTCGATTCCTCATTGGCAAAATGGGGATAATAAAATTTTACCTTATAGAAGTTGTTAGAATTAACAAAAGTCTATAAACATACAACAAGTGCCTAGTAAGGGACAGATAGTGGCTCTTATTAATATTTAATATTTAAAATAAAATGCAGCCATGCGACTGTAGTCCTCCTTGTTGGATATACCCTATAGTTTCTGCTAAACTGTGTCCTTGCTCCGTTTTTTGTTTTTTTTTCGTTTTGTTATTTTGCTTGGTTTTTGCATCCCCAGCAAGTTCCCTGTGATTCACACACAGCAGAAGCTGAACCACGGTTTGTTTCTTACAATGATGCTTATTCTGCTAGGAGGACAGTGAGAAATAAACCAAACCAAACCAAAGAAACAACCAACCCAGGGGCTGGTTATCTTATGGCCATGGGTGTGTGATCAGCACGAATAACAAGCATCTCCAAGGAAACGCTAATGTAGTGGTAGGTTTTCTGGACCCCTCTATGGACTGAATGTTTGTGTCCTCCCAAAATTCACATATAAACTTTGATACTTCATATCAAACTGGAGGCCCAGTGCACAAAATCGTGCACTCGAGGTGGGCAGTGTCCCTCAGCCCAGCCTGCACCCTTTTGCAGTCCAGGATCCCTCAGGGGATGTCTGACTGACAGCTTAGGCCTGCTTGCTGTGGACATCTTTAGCATTGCTATGGAGGAGGGAGAGGCACCCACCAACACCACTGTATTCACCAGTCATGAGCCTGGCTCAGGGCTGCTGGCTGAGTGGCACTCCCCCTGTAGGAGCGCACTGACCACCAGGGGGCAGCTTCTGTATTGAGCATCTGCCCCCTGGTGGTCCGTGTGTGTCATAGTGACTGGTCATTCTGCCGCTTGGTAGATGTGCATATTTTCCTTTTATTATATAGGGTAAGTAGGATGGTATTAGGAGGTGGGGCCTTTGGGAGGTCACTAGGATTAAATTAAATGGAATTAATACACACAATGAAGTGGGGAGGAGGCCTGGGAGCTCTCTCTGCGTGGACTCAACAAGGAAGGCCACGTGAGGACATAACAAAAAGAGGGTCTTACCAGAACCCGACAGGGCCTAAACCCTGACTGGGACCCCGCCTCCAGGAGTGGGAAATAAGTGTTTAAATCGACAGCAGCCCACGCTCCATCTCTCTCCATCAGAGGTAAGGATGTTTCACCCCAGAGCTTTGTTCTCACTGCTCCACAGGTGGCTCAGTCAACACAGAGAGGCAATGTGCATGGCCCCAGGCAGAGCCAGGGTTTAGAGCGGGCCATGCCAGCTCATGTTTGTCCAATGCAAAGAGCTATTTGCAAATGCTCATTCTCATCACAGTTTTCTAACGGCTCCCTTTCTGCCCGAACACGCCCTGTACCTTGTCCACCATGGAGGATTTCTGCCTGTAAGGTTTCCAGTCCACTCCCTGGTCACTGTAGTGGATGGTGTAGCTCTTCACGTACATCTCAGAGGACAGGGACTTGCAGCCCTGGGTAACGATCGCAGTGATCTTCTTCATTTTGAGCAGATCGATTTGTAACCACTGTTGGTTGTTGTTTGCCTGTGAACAGGAGGAGAACACATGGGTAAGACAGATGCCAAGCCTTTGTTTTTTTAGACCAAGTTACTCAGAAATGCCAGAGCTCCACGCTCATCCCTTACGACGCCCTGTCTCCTTGCCTTCCCTGTTCCTTTGTTTGTGGCTACAGCATGTGTGCTAACTTCTTCCGGAGCTGTTCACACAGGTGCAGTCATGATCTGGGTTCATCTTTGTATCCCTTCGTCTTTGAGGACAGGGACTGATGAGTTTTGTTTCTATGCACTTACCACAGAGCAAGGCACTCAGTTGGTGTTCGTCAAATATTTGTTAAATAAACAAGTAAATGAAATTGACTTGGGAAAAATATTAAACCGATAAATCATCTTTAAGTGTTATTCTGGTAAGCAAGTTGTTTTAAATGCTATGATGATGTTACTGAATACTGAAGGGCCACCTGGGAAAGAACGGAATAGCATTCGGTATTTATTTTAGAAAAGCCCACTTTCCTTTCTTTGCTAACAGCCAATAGGAGACATAGTGCAATTTCTTCTTTTCAGATATTTCACATACATAAAGTATTTGAGAGACTTGATAAAGCTACACACAGGGCTTGGTGTGCACAGTAACTGTCCTGCCTGTGGCCAAATGACATGCCTGGTTACAGGCTTGGGGTTATGCATATGGAGGAGGAGGACCAGAGGACAGATAGAGTTTTAGAGTAATCTGAGATGAATTTTCAATTCTGGGAGATTTATCAAGCCCCATAGTCTCATTCGGTTCTATATGAAATAATGAAATCATGAATATTGATCTATTTGTCTCAACATCTCTTATATGTGCATGATTGCATGCACATATGTATACACATGCATATGTATATAGTCATATACTTTATGTATCTTTAGAGAAAATTAATTGGATTATAAGTATTGTATTGGATAATTTTTATTAATTCTATTATACCCTTTAGTGGCATTTGGTGATATCATAGTGTGTCTTCAAACCAAGGTGGTACTTGTGATGTAGAATATATTAGGTCTAGTAATAATTAATGTCGTTTTCTAATACTTTTTAAAATCGAATTTATTTAAACAATACAACAAAATTTAATCAACAATATAGTTGCCGTTGTTTTCTACTACTTGTGCCCAATGCTCAGGAAGCATTTTAATCCCTCCCTCTGTTGTAAAATTCTTGTGATTTTGATGCAAAAAATTCGGTCAATGCATTTTTGAGGCATTCCTCATTATTAAATTTTTTTCCAAGAAGAAAGTTTTGCAAAGAACGAAACAAATGGTAATCGGAAGGGGCAATATCAGGAGAATATGCAGGTTGAGGGAGAACTTCCCATTCCAACTGGCGCAGTTTTTCAGCAGTGATTCTTGCAGTATGCGGTCGTGCGTTATCGTGGTGAAGAATTACGCCCTTCCGATTAATCAGCGTGAGTTCTTTTTCTCTTAAAGCTTGGGCTAACCTTTCCAATTGGGCACTATACACTGCACTTGTAATGGTTTGGTTAGATGGTAAAAGTTCATAATGAAGAATTCCTTTAAAATTCCACCAAACACACAACATCACTTTTTTCGCATGCAAGTCAGGTTTTGGTGTGGGCTGTGGAGCCTCATTTTTGTCCAACCATTGAGGCCGCCTTTTCAAATTAACATACAGCACCCATTCTTTATCTCCGGTAACAATTTGCTCTAAAAACGGCAAACGGTTTTGACGAGAGAGGAGCCAACTGCAAATTGTGACTCTTTGATTACGGTTGTTGTCGGTCAACTCATGAGGAACCCATTTTCCAAACTTTTGGACTTTGCCAAGTGCACGCAATTGATTGGAAATTGTTTTTTGTGAACAATTTAAAGTTGTCGCAAGCTCTTGTTGGGTAATTTGAGGATTTTGCACCAAAAGAGCTTGAAGAGCTTCTTGATCAAAATTGGACACACGGCCTTGACCACTCTTGTCATCTAACGAAAAATTTCCCTCGCGAAATTTCTCAAACCAACGCTGGCATTTTCTGGCGCTAACTGCATCTTGACCAAGAGCACTACAGATGTTTTTTGCAGCCTCACTTGCTTTTCTTCCTAATTGGAACTCGTAAAGCATGCAGTGCCGAATATGCTCTTCATCCGCCATCTTCTTAGCCCTAGTTTTGCAACAAAAACCAAACCAAACACAAACTTTTTCAAGCAAAACTTGTTAATTGCACCTCACATGTTCTGTAGATACCACGTGTTTGAAGGTTATGTCAATACAAGTCAACGCCAAGCAAGATTTTAAACGAATGTTTAAAAACGACATTAATTATTACTAGAAGGGTTTTCTAGGTATATTGATAGAATAGGTAGAGGCCCTTTCAGCTGCATGCGTGCCTACATATGTCTAGCTTAGATTTTCATCCTCTCTAAAGAGGCCCTATAAACACATTTCATGCTAATAAGTCAAGTGAAACAAATAATTGTGACCTAGAATTCCAAATTTAAAATGACAGCATTAAAAATTAAAATTAGCATTTCCTCTTTGGAACCTTTATTATTTCACAAAGACTAAGAGCAAATTGTATTTGGAGGAAGTTTTTTTTTTTTTTAAAGTCTGTACCATGGATGGGGGGTGGTGGGGAGATAAGGTTGTGCCATAAACAGATCTAAAGGGTCATCTGGGAAACACCTTTCTTCCTCTCTCCTTAACCTTTTACTCTTACTTTTATGATTTTTAAAAATTATATAAATAAAATGTAATGAGACATTATTAACTTTATTATTTTACTAGAGGCCTGGTACATGGAGATCAGGGCAAGGCGACGCCCCATCACACCTCTGCTGCCGCCATTGCTGACAGTGCAAGCCTCGGGCAGCCCTGGTTACCTGAGCCTCAAACAGCCCTGGGTGGCTGGGCAGCTGCCATCTGAGGCTTGCCTGTCCAGGGAATTGCAGTGTGGGTACCTTTAGGGAGGGAGTTAGGAAGAGAGGAAATAGGGAACTTGGAGTAAATTGGTTGATGGGATTGTTCTAATTTCTGATGTCATTCTGATGTATCACGTCAGTTGAAGCGTGCAATAAAAGTGAGTCAGTTTATTAAGTTACCCTAAAACTGTCACCTGACTTAATGTGTGGGAATATCAGGGGCAATATAAAAGCTGTTTCTCCGACTCAGATCAATGTTTTACATCCCTGGTTTTGCAGAATTTTACTATGTGGCCAATTGTCTAAAGCAAGCATTTCAAATTTCAGCAGGTGAGCAGCATGCCTCGAGGCATGTGGCTGCGAATTTGACATGCTTGGTCTAAAGGAACATTACAAAGTTCTCAGAAAAATTGGAACAAAAAAATTTTAATGGCACTCCTAAGAAAATGAAAAATATTGCTAAATTGGGGCATGGTGGGGGAAAGGAAGAGATGTTGGAAATCTAAATCACTTACTGCTAATGTAAGTTGTCTCAAAGAGGACTTGCAAATTACAGCCCTAGGATAAAATCTGACCCACCCCCTGATTTTGTAAATAAAGTTTTATTGGAACACAGCCATGATAATGTTTATGGTTTGCTTTCCTGCTACGATGAGAGATGAATAGTTTTGACAGGAAATGTATGGCTCACATAACCCAAAACATTTATTACCTGGCCTTTGCCCACCCCTGGTCTAAATTAAGATTAGACAAACTGCAAAGCTGATGAATAACTTCCCTGTGAGTCAGCGTTAGAGGAAAGCTATTGAGTCAACAGGCACGCTAGTCCTCAGGCCCAGGATCACGACCTGCAGAAACAAGGGGCGCTGTCTGGCTTCCCAGGCCCCCCATGTTCTTTTGATTTCTTCTGGAAGCTGAGAGAACTGTGTTAACAGGGATATTCACCTTGGCTTGCCAGGCATTCACATGTCCCTGGGCATTCAGGCGGGCACAGAAGGGTTCCCAGTTACCTCCCCACCAGGACTTTTTAAAGGAGGAGGCTGTGATTTGCGTGTTTTTTATCTTCCCACTTTCCATGCCCAGTGGGGTGGAGCATCCTGTTGAGAGAAAAGTAATGGGATTAGTCCGCACCACCAGGACTCTCTGTACCCCATTTTGTGTGGGGATGAGAGAAGGAACTCAGAGCACCAGCAAAAGCAGCCATCACAACAGTCAGCTCTGTTCATCCATACGGTTGATTGTTGGTATGGATCAGTCCTATGGATGAACAGAGCTCACTGTCCCATTTTCAGGTGTCAGCTTGACTCTAGGAGCTGATCAAACTACCGCTTCCATCAGACACCGTCTGGGAGGAAAACATGGTTTATGGAGCTGTTCTGAGGAGTGCTGCCTGTACGAAAGCTGTAGTTCATGGGAGAGGGTACAGGCCCCGCTATCTGGGCGCTGGCACAACGCCCATATCCGCATTCCTCGTGAATATCAGGAGTAGAGGTAACATTGCCTGGTTGGATAAGAAGCTGATTCCAAGGTTCGGCTACATTCGCCACCACGAGGGTAGCTCTCCCCTCTGCCCCGAGAGAAGGCGCTGTGGCTTCCCACCAGGCGTGCCACAGCGCGTTTCCGGGGTGCCCATATACTGGGCTCTCCCGCCCCTTAGTCGTGAGCAGCCAGGCGGGGTCTGGGTCAGCCAAGCCCTGGGACAGCTACTTTATTCTGTTACCCCAGGCCAAGTCAGGTATTGCTTTCTGTATGTGTTTTGCAGTGAACAGTTTTGGAAAGCACCGCTTGAAGAATCAGAGAAGGAGAATAATTACTATGACTCTCAAACATCATTGTTCTACAATGTAGAATCCACATGGTAGAATTTTATTATGGCCACATGTGGTTCCCTACATCTCACTGTACCGCAGGTCACATTACATCCCTGAAAAACAGCAGCTTAACATAGAGAAGGCGAGGGTATCTACATGGGATGTGAAATTCACCTGACACAGAGCCTGGTCAAGGTTTCAGGAAGCTGGGAAGCAGACTTAGATCGCAAAACCACTCATTAGACTCTGATGCATGCGGGAACATGGCTAGATACCGTTATCACATGAGTGTCCTCGAGGACTTCGGAAGAGCCAGGCCTCGTTTGAATCTCAGTTCTATGAGAAATGGGCTGCGGAGGTCATCCTCACCTGGGACCCTCCCTCGAGGTCAGGGCGGAGAGCATGTCACCCAGGTGCCCCGCCCCCTGGCTGGAGAACCTGTGTCCCTCTGAGTGACCGTGAGCTTTGCCTGAGTGGAACCTCTGCTTCCCAAACGTTTCAAGAGCCTACATGATGAAGAGAACTGAAAGTCCTCCCCTTCTCCCGCACCTCCCGCCTGGACTCTGAGCGGCGGGGAGACAGTCAGGCATCGCGGCTCCTCACCGTTAACCTCGCAGCCTTGCAGCTCCAGGCGCAGGGCAGGCCTGTGGTAGAATCTGGTTGGATAGACCCTGAGGTATCTTGCTACAATCGGCGGATCAAACCGATTTTCTTTGACTGAAGAGGTGTCTGAGTTGCCATAAAAATACTAGAGGAAAAGAGACAAGCTTCGTTATGCAAACATTCTCTGTAAAGTGATTTTATAGTAAAATTTTGGTGTAAGTTAATATTGTGACATTGTTTTCATGTGGCCAGACCTAAATCGATATGGTCTTTAAAATATTTAAGGGTACTTCCACTTTAGGAATATGGTATAGGTGTACCTTTCCCCATTCCTCCTGTTAAGTACAACTAGAAACAAGAATGCTCTGGAAGGGGAGAGAGGGCACACTGGCTAGGATTCTCGGACCCTAGGAACAGCATGGCCATGGGCTCCCTGGGTTTCCTTTTGCCCCACAGCCCCCAATCTTGGAAGAGAAGGAGCCAGCAACCAGGAAACACCACGGAGCACAGACACGAACAGCCCCAGCACAGCCCTGCTTTCTCCAGCCTCAGCGCCAAGAGAGGGCAGCCCAGCAGGCAAAGCTCTTTTGGACAATCACTGCCCTCCGGCCAGTTCAGATACAACTATGGCCTCTCCTCATCCAACAGCAGCGAGGCCAAGGGCAGAGCCTTGACCTCCACGGGCGTGAGCTGTGATGAGGCACCTCGTGCCCTCACTGGGGTGTGTCGGAAGCCATGTTGGGGCCCAGCTCCTCCCAGGGCGCCCACGGCTGCAGTGTCCATGGAGAGCATCTCTCCCACCAGCAGCAAAGAGGAGGAGTCCCTGTCAGGTGGGCAGCCTGGTCTGGAGCCCCTGGCAGTCCGAGGTTGTGCCCCATCCGCTTCCCCTGCCAGAGTGGCATCAGAGATATGCAGCCGAAACAGAGTTAGGGGCAGACCAAGCAACTAAGTAAGCAAGACAGAAAACAGAAATATGGTAGGTAAGGGTAATGAAGCAAAGAGCCAGTTCTTTGAAAAGATGTTAAAAAAAAAAAAAAAAGGCAAATCTCTAACAAGACTAACAAAGCGGAAGGAGAAGAGATGAATGACCAGCACCAGACGTGAGCGGGCAGTCTCACCACTGACCTCGCAGACGTCAGGAGGGTGATAAGGGACGTAAGCACAACTCCAGACATGAATCTAGCAACTTAGAGGAGATGGAGCCACGCATTGAAAAAGCAGTACTCCAATGCACCCAATATAAGAGAGATAATTTGAAAAGCCCATAACTGCTGAAGAAATTTAATTTGTAATCTTAAAACTTCTGGAAGAGAAATCTCCAGGCCCACATGGTTTCACTGGTGAATTCTGCCAAATGCTTAAGGAACTAATACCAATTCTAGACAATCTTTTCCACAAAATAGGGAAGAAGAGCACGCTTCCCAATTTAGCTTGTGAAGCTAGTATTACTCTGATACCAAAACCAGAAAAGACAGTACAAAAAAAATAAAACTAGCTGAAACAGGTTTGGCTCAGTGGATAGAGTGTTGGCATGTGAACTGAAAGGTCCCAGGTTCGATTCCGGTCAAGGGTATGTACCTTGGTTGCGGGCATATCCCCAGTATGGGGTGTGCAAGAGGCAGCTGATTGATGATTCTCTCTCATCAATGTTTCTAACTCTCTATCCCTCTTTCCTCTCTGTAAAAAAATCAATAAAATTTATTTAAAAAATAAAACTACTACATACCAATATCCCTCATGAATCTAGATGTAAAATGCTTTAAGCTAGAGACTCTCACTGAAATCTATGTTCTCTTCCTGATACTGATTAGTAAGAACCATCGTTTAGGATTTTTCTTATCTATCCAAGAAATAGCTAAGCGATAATATAGAAAGTTAGTTATAGAGAATATAGAAAATTAGAAAAAATTAGTAACATCAGAACATTAGTAACATCAGAACCTGATGGCATATTTTTAGCATGATCCCCTGAAGGCACCAGATCAGATAAATACTCTGTGCTGCCGTACACCATCTGCCAATCTGAAAAGTCTAGTATTTCGTTTGACGATAAAGTGATTTTTAAAAAGTCCTGTGGAGTTTTGAAGTTTCAGAAGTCAGGCTTATCCCTTTAATTTGTAATATACAGACCCATCATTTCCCCACTTTCCTTCATTAGGCCCTAAGAAAGCCCTTCATGTTTCTAATGCCGAGAAAAGTAATTTACAAAAGCGAAGAGTCATGGTCCCAGTCACAGCGACCATCGGGTGAGTGGGAAGACTCTGAAGGAGACATGCACACAGACCATCACGTTCCTGGTGCTGTTCCCCTTGAAGACCTGCCAGTTGGTCTGGTCGGAGCTGTAGGCCACACGGAACTCAGTGGTGTAGTAGGACTTCAGGTAGTGCTTGGCGCCTTGGGACTGGATGCCTGTGAACAGGACTTCCCTTTGCATGTCCACCTGCAACGGAGCAAAGCCGCTGAGCAGAACTGTCCTTGTCCACGAGTCACACGCCATCTCAATCACTGAGCAGCCAGCCAGCTTTCTTCAGAACCAAAGAGCCAACACCCCGGGTTTTACTTAGCAAACTAATCAATGCAGTCTGTATTTGAGCTCAGAGGACCTAAATCCCTGCTCAACCACTAAGAAGCTGTGCACGACACTGGGAAGTTAGTTTACCCCTCTGCGTCTCAGTTTTTTCATCTGTAAAATAGGATGGTGCTAGAACCAACCTCATAGGGTTCATTTTAAGGATGTTATCTATTTAGAATATTACCTGGCACCTAGTCATTGCTATTTCCCCTAACAACATTGCAAAGGAACAACAAAAAGTTATTAAGTCAGTGTCATTTTTACACAACCAGAGGCCCAGTGCACAAAATTTGTGCGCAGATCGGGTCCCTAGACCTGGCCAATGATCAGGACCAATAAGGGCCTTCCTTCATTCCGCGCTGCCCTCTGGTGGTCAGTGCACATTATAGCGAGCTATGGAAATCTTGATCTCCCAGTTGAATTCCCGAGGGGACAATTTTCATGCTAGGCTTTTAGATATATATAGATAACAGTAAATATTATCAGATAAATGTCATACCTGGATCCAAGGTTTAGAGTCAAATTCTGAACTTTTTTCTGTCATCCATGCATTATATGATCCACCATTGTTTAATCTTGCTAATTTGGGCTCCCAATAACCTAAATCCAAAGGAAGAAAAAAATGTATTCTGAATTAAAAAAACACACACACATACACACTTAGAAATTTCTCAAGTGAGTTCAGTCCCAGTGGAAAATCAGATCCTGAAGGACCTTCTTGGGCAGTTAGAAGACCAGGCAGGTGGCACAGGCTCAATTCCTGACTTAGCTCAGGATGACAATAGCTTGGCTTCAGGTCTGAGCTCGGTCATCTGTCACCTGCCACCCACCCCCTTTCCTGGATACAGGTCATGTGTCTCTCCTCTCAGTTATGTAAATTACTGTGGCCGCTGCTGAGTGTGCCTGCTTACCAGGAAGACGTGGGAGGGATTTATGGGAGCCTCATGGACCCTTGCAACTGACCCCTTGATCTTGGGAAGGGCTCTGAGCAGTGAGGACAGTTAGGATGTGTTCCTGACACACAGTGGGGGATCAACAAAGTTTCTTGAATCGAAGGGCCCTATTCATGGGGACTCTAACACGTGCCCGAAGAGGCCCGGTGAACCTGGCTGGAATAGCATGTGTGATCCAAGCCAGAATGGAATGAATGGAGAGAGTCTTAGAAAAGGGCACATGGTCATACGAGCAAGCTGTGCCCTCTTGCCCAGTCTGCTGAGAGGTCAGCCTGCCTATGGAGGGGGCCACGCTCTTGGCCTTTCCTGGGGGAGACTCTGGGAACATCGTACACCAGAGGGGGTGGCGGCGATAAGGGAGTGCCCACAGGCTTTAGCTCCTGCCACGGCGCTCCATCCTTTACCGAGAAGCACCCCAAAGGGAGCTGCTGTGCTCTGCTGGGGTAGAGGAAAGTCCGGAGAGGAGCAATGCCCCGATGCTCTAGGCCCAGCTGGCCTGCGTGGCTGTGCAGTCCGCATCCTGCACAACGGGGGGAGGCGCCTCTCACAGGCCACGCTGTGCTGCTTACCCAGAAACTCCGACGCCTTGATCTGCGTATCAGCTATCATGCCTGTGCTTAGGCCCAGGGGCATCTTACATTCTACAAAAAACCAGGACAATGAATAACGTTTGCTGAGAAGATACATTCAACAACGTATACAGCTAGAGATGATACCTGTGGTGAGTCAGTAATTAGATACTGTTACTAACCATGCACAGCACTGACTGAGATGCACTCGATCTTACAATGGTAAGTGCCCTACAAGTCTGGTACTTTAATAGAAACAGTGACCCCCTATCCGAAAATAACCGAAATCCTGAAATGCAACTTGTTTTTAAACCAATTTCCATCTGCATATATCTTAAAATAAACCACTTTACAACACTAAGTCCTAACCCCACAGGGTTATTAGGATCCTAATTGTGTTCCTGGGAAGGAATACCACCAGAGGCCGTGGTCGGCAAACCGTGGCTCCCAAGCCACATGCGGCTCTTTGGCCCCTTAAGTGTGGCTCTTCCACAAAATACCACGACCTGGGTGAGTCTATTTTGAAGAAGTGGAGTTAGAAGAAGTTTAAGTTAAAAAAATTTGGCTCTCCAAAGAAATTTCAATCGTTGTGCTGTTGATATTTGACTCTGTGGACTAATGAGTTTGCCGACCACTGACCAAGGGGAACGCCAACCACTGAGCTATCTGGATGTTGCCCTCATGCTTGGTGCTCAGCGGGTGCTTGATCCATGCTGGCTGGCGGGCCAGATAGACAGATGAAAACTTGTCCCGAGTCCTGGGATGCCAAGACCAGGGTCTCCCTTGGGGACTGTTGAGCTCCTTGTATCTTTTCCTCCTCAGAGCGAGGAGCCCGGGGGATTTCTTACAGGCACTTGCCAGGGGTCACACACCATGAAGGAGGATGCTGTATGTTGGCTCCCATATGTTTGGTTTAAGTTTCCTGGATGGATCATACTGATGTGTGCGGTATGATCAGACGTGGCCAGAGCGAAAGCACTGGTGCCACAGATAGATCGTGCCTTTGTCTTATCAGAGCTCCAAGTTGAATATTTCCTGTCTGAACGTCAGCAATATTCTAGCAACAGCACTCTCCTGCTTACAGGGTCCTGAGGCTCTTGGCGGATACCTCTGTCTACGATGAGAAATGGCGTTTGCATCCCTGCTCTCTGGTTCTCTCCGACCTCCGTGTCTAGGAGCCACCAGCCAGGTTTGGATGCCTTCATTTCAAGAGTTTTAAATGAACCTAAAACAGAGAGTGAAGGACAGCATTACATACTCAAAGATTGACAGGTTACTATTAGGCAGCAATCAAAGGATCCTAATATATCTGCATCCCAGGGAGCTTTAGGATAGAACTTAAGAGTTGTCCATTCATTTCTAAGCAGGACTAGAGGGGTAACAAAAGGTCAAAACAACACACACACACACACACACACACACACAAATAAATCATCCAGAACTTAAAAAATCTCCATCATCCCTTACTAGAAAGAAGCTTCCATTTACCTGAACAGAATGTTCTGAGTTAACCTGCACACACACAGCTTCACGGTCCTAAGGACCAGAACAACCTTGAGTGACCCATCACTGGGCCCCGAACACTTTCCCATCTTTCCTTTCGCTCTTTTTTCATATGAGAAAATTAAAATAAAACATCTCCACATTTCAGATGTTCGATAAAGTTTACACAGGTGGGTGGAGCATGCATAACCTGCTTCAGAACACCACGGGAAGGATGAGTTTCTGAAACCTCTGCTTATCCACACTCGCAGTGGCTATTACCTACTGCCAGATAGTGCTTCAGTCCTGCCAGCTGCCACTGTGAGCATTTCCCACTGGTGAGTGAAAATGAAAAGCTGATGGTCACCCCCATCAAATCCTGAAAAGATGTCCAGCCTTTCCCTCTGGGACGAGATACTGAGGCTCGAGATGCAGACGGCCAGCCCGGCCCAGCTTCTCAGGGCTTCTCCTGGGCGGCCGGCTGGCCTGGTCTCCCGGTCACAGTAAGGCTTCTCCTGGGCAGCCCCTCTGGCCCTGCTCTCAATGGAATGGGCTTTGTTATGAGTCACGGGCACATTGAAAGCAAACAAGAACTCTCCCTTTCCAGACCCGTGGCCAAAACAGGCCCATGTGCTTCCCGGAGGCTGACTCACAGGGCAGCTCCCCCCGGAGTCCTGCCCGGACACCCCCAAGTTCCCCAGCAGTGTGCAGACATCTCTTCCACCCCGGCCCTTAGCCGGCTTCCTGGGTTCCCTGTGCCCACCACAGCTGAGAACCAGTGGCACCAGCCCTCTCTCTCTCTCTCTCTCTCTCTCACACACACACACACACACACACACCCCTACACACACACACACACACACATATACCTACACACACATACCTATACACATACACACACACACCTACCCACACATACCTATACACATACACACCTACACACACACCTACACACATCTACACATATACCTACACACACATACCTATACACATACACACAACACATACCTATACACATACACACCTACACACACACACCTACACACACCTACACATATACCGACACACACATACCTATACACATACACACACACATACCTATACACATACACACCTACACACACACACCTACACACACCTACACATATACCTACACACACATACCTATACACATACACACACACACATACCTATACACATACACACCTACACACACACACCTACACACACCTACACATATACCGACACACACATACCTATACACATACACACACACATACCTATACACATACACACCTACACACACACACCTACACACACCTACACATATACCTACACACACATACCTATACACATACACACACACACACACCTACACACACACCTACACACACACACCTACACACACCTACACATATACCGACACACACATACCTATACACATACACACACACACCTACACACACACATACCTATACACATACACAACCACACACACATACTTACACACACACACACCTACACACACACACACACATCTATACACACTTACACATATACCTACACACACACCTACACACACACTTACACACACACACATACACACACACACACACCTACACACACATACTATACACATACACACATTTACACACACACCTACACACACACTTACACACACACACTTACACACACACACCTACACACACACACACCTACACACACATACTTACACCCCCACCTACACACACACACACACACACCCCTACACACACCTACACATATACCTACACACACATACCTATACACACACCCATCTACACACACACACACACCTACACACACCTACACATATACCTACACACACACCTATACACAGACACACACACACCTACATACACACACCTATACACATACACACCTACACACACATACTCACACACATACATACACACACACACCTACATACACCTACACATATACCTACACACACATGCCTATATACATACACACACTTACACACACACACCTACACACACACACACACACACCTACACATACCTACACACACCTACACATAAATACCTCACACACCCCTACACACAAATACACACTCATGCCTACACATACACCTATTCACATACCTACACACATACCTACACGTACACACACCTACACACACACGCACCCCTCCACACACCCCTACACACACCTACACACAGCTACACATACATACCTACACACAAATACACACGCATGCCTATACACACACCTACACACAAACACCTACACATCCCTAAACACACACCTACACACACACACACGCCTACACACACACACCTGCACACACACACACAAACACCTACACATCCCTAAACACACACCTACACACACACGCCTACACACACACACACCCCTACACATACATACCTACACACAAACACACCTGCACACTCACACACATACACACACACCTACACAAATACCTACACACACATATACCTACACACACACACACACACACATATCTACACATACACACCGACAGACACACACACCGACAGACACATACCTACACACATACATGCCTACGCACACACCTACAACATACACACACACCTACACACACACACACACACACACACCTACACACACACGCGCACACACACACCCCTACAAACAACACATTGGCATGTAAGAACCCCTTTAGGTGACTGGTTTGTTTTAACCTTATTATTCTGCACACAAAGGTCTCTAAATACCCCCATTATTCTTCAGCTTTTATAATATTTGGAAAACATTTTTTCCCCTCCAAACAGCCTCGTGAGTCAGTTTGAGATGAAGAATCCTAGAGTCTTGCCCACAGATATCAGGGTGATAGAGGGAGGAGTAGAATTCAAGAAATTGTGACATCCCCCCCCCCCCTCACCCCATCCCCACAGCCCCAGCAAAGTCTCCTCTGCCCCCGCTGCCCCCGCTGCCTGAGCCGGGCCTCATTCCGCCTGGAAGCCCCGCGTGGCAGCGGCGCGGGAGCCTGCCCGGGACCTGGCTTCTCTGCCGAGTGGAGTCGGGCCACACTGTTAGCCGGGGTGGCCAGCAGTGTGAGCATTCGCTGGCTTTTCACACCCGCTGTGGGTGTGCCGCGCTGGGTGTGGCTTTGCCAGGATCCACCAGAGCCCGCGCACGCCCTCAGCAGTAAGTGCCCAGGGGGAAGGGGGGACTTGGGGATGCTGGGTGCCTCCTCTGGCTGTGGTTCAGCCAGGCCTCTTCGCAGGCCCAGATGCTCACCGGGCAGCAGGGGCCAGACGCCCCGCTGGTGCTGCTGGGTGCCGTTCTCCAGCAGGGTCTGGCCGTGGAAGTGCACCACGTGGATGTCCTGGGAGCCGCCCAAGTTCAGCAGGTGCAGCCGCACCCACTCCTGCTCGTACATCCGCAGGCCTGGCAGCTTGTAGATCATCCCGTTGATGGCTGCAAGGACAGAGGGCGCTGCCCATTAGCATGTGTGCGCACAGGAGAGAGGCGGGAGGACCTGGGTCTCCCTCCCGTTAGCATGTGTGCACACAGGAGAGAGGCGGGAGCACCTGGATCTCCCTCCCGTTAGCATGTGTGCACACAGGAGAGAGGCGGGAGGACCTGGGATCTCCCTCCCGTTAGCATGTGTGCGCACAGGAGGGAGGCAGGAGGACCTGGGATCTCCCTCCTGTTAGCATGTGTGCACACAGGAGGGAGGAGGGAGGACCTGGGATCTCCCTCCCGTTAGCATGTGTGCGCACAGGAGGGAGGCGTGAGGACCTGGGTCTCCCTCCCGTTAGCATGTGTGCACACAGGAGAGAGGCGGGAGGAGCTGGATCTCCCTCCCGTTAGCATGTGTGCGCACAGGAGGGAGGAGGGAGGACCTGGGATCTCCCTCCCGTTAGCATGTGTGCACACAGGAGAGAGGCGGGAGGACCTGGGTCTCCCTCCCGTTAGCATGTGTGCACACAGGAGGGAGGTGTGAGGACCTGGATCTCCCTCCCGGCCTGCTCCTACATCAGCCGCAGCAGGCGAGCGGGCGCTCCTCTCCCAGAACGTTGTCCCTCCCTCCCCCAGACCTCCCGGGCCTGCTCTGTGCTCTATCCATGCAGCCTTTCCATGTGCAGCTTGGACTCTCCTTTGCTGCTGACAGAAAAGGCCCAGGAGGCCAGCAAGGGGACTCCAGCATTTAGAGGAAAGAGTCAGTAAGGGGTGTGCAGCATGCACCCTCAGGCTTTAAACCAGAGATAGAGCCAGGCCAGGCGAGGTCGGAGTCATCTCTGCACACCACAGCCGCAGTGACTGTGCTGGCTCTCAGGCAACGCCAGCTGCTCCGCCCCCTCCCGGCCTGGATGTCCGGGATCTGAGATTTACCCACTGGCCCCTCAGTGGTGTGTGTGAGTGTGTATGTGTGTGTGAGTGTGTGTGTGTGTATGTGAGAATGTGTGTGTGAGCGTGTGTGAGTGTATGTGTGAGAGAGTGTATGTATGTGTGAGTGTGTGTGTGTGAGTGTGTATGTGTGTGTGAGTGTGTGTGTGTGTATGTGAGAATGTGTGTGTGAGCGTGTGTGTGAGAGAGTGTATGTATGTGTGAGTGTGTGTGTGTGAGTGTCTTTGTGTGTGTGTGAGAGACAGGAGTGTGTGAGTGTGAGTGTGAGTGTGTGTGAGTGTGAGTGTGTGTGTGTGTATGAGAGAAAAATGTGTATGTGAGTGTGTGTGTGTGTGAGTGTGTGTATGTGTGAGAGAGAGAAGAATGTGTGTGTAAATGTGTGTGTGTGTGAGAGAGAATGTGTGTGTGAGTGTGTGTGTGTGAGAGAGAGAGAGAGAATGTGTTTGAGTGTGTGAGTACAAGAGAGAGAGAGAAAGAGAGAGAGAGAGAAGAATGTGTGTGTGTGTGAGAGAGAAGAGTGTGAGAGTATGAGAGTGTGAGTGTGTGTGTGTGTGTGTGAGAGTGTGTATGTGTGTGTGTGTGTGAGTGTGTGTGTGAGTGAGTGTGTGTGTATGTGTGTGTGAGTGTGTGTGTGAGAGAGAAGAGTGTGTGTGTGTGTGTGTGTGTGTGTGTGTAAAGTACCTGGTACACCGGATCACCTTAAAAATGCTACCACATTTCAGCGATAAAGCTTGGTGCGACCCTCCTTTAACTGGGACAAAGCGGGGGAAGGTGTTGTTGCTGTGTGTTCCTCTGAAAGGAAGGCACCGCCGTGGGATGTCAGGAGCCAGGAGCTGCCGGAGGGAGAGGAGCGGGGAGCATTCGGCTGCCTGTTTCATCCACGCGTGTTTGTGCCACCTGGGCTGCTGAGTCCGAAGCTGATGCTTTAGAAAGCACACGTGGGTGCTTCTCCTCTAGACATAATTTCCCTCTAAAGTCAGGAAACAGTCTGTTCAGCACTTAATGCAGAATAGTGCTCAGTGCTCGTCAGTGTGAGTGTAACAGGCGCGCTGGCATTGCTGGGGTTTGGCTGTGTCCCAGCAGCACCGGCCTCTTTCAGGCCCCCCACCCCCGTGTTTCCTCGACAGGAGTGCCAGCTGCCCGGATCCCTGGGACACTCTTGGTTCCTCAGAAGCATCTCCTGCCTAACCCTGTGGAGACCTCAGGGCAGGGGCCCCTGCCCCAGAGCTGCCGGGCTGGGTCAGATCCGAGGCCGATACCGTGGAACTTGTGAGAGGCTCTTCCCTCTGAGGAGCCGCGTCTCCAGGAGCTCTGGGGCTTCTTGTCGTAGTACCAGCTCTTCTTCTCGTCAAAGACCATGAAAAGCAGGACGAACTCCCTCCTGTCCGCGGGCAGCCCGCTCTCCTTGTTCAGGGTTCCTCGCCGGCAGATCAGGAGCGGGCCGATCAGGCCCGAGTGGATGTCCCGTTCCTGAAAGACAGAGGGAGGAATGGGGCGCACACCCTCTCGGAAAAATTGATTTTTTACAGAGAGGAAGGGAGAGGGATAGAGAGCTAGAAATATCGATGAGAGAGAATCATCGATCAGCTGCCTCTTGCACACCCCCTACTGGGGATGTGCCCGCAACCAAGGTACAGTACATACCTTTGACTGGAATCGAACCTGGGACCCTTGAGTCCGCAGGCCGACGCTCTATCCATTGAGCCAAACCGGTTAGGGGGAGGCCTGATTGTGAAGAGTGTAAATGAGTGGCTACATAAAGCTGGATCTTACCCATCTAATTCTGTGACACTCAGATCCCCTTACTTTGCTTAGTTATTTACCTGGACATCGTAGTCATGATAATGATGGTAAAATATTGATGTTATAACAAATAGTATTTAGTGAGCGTTTACTACTATATTAAATACTTTTCCTATAGCCCCTTATACAATTCTGACAACAATCCTGTATAGTGCAAAGAACTCACTTATTAAACTAATATGGCCAACTATGTGCCATGTGCTGTTGTTATCTCCTTTTTAACTTCAGAAACCGAGGCGGAGAGAGGGCGAGTGACATGTCTGGGGCCACGAAGTGGTGACGGGGAAGGAACTGGAACCGAGGCCGGTGCTTCCCTGACATCCCAGGAAGGAAGGGTCTTAATGTTGCAGTTCGTCCTCAGAGAAGGAGGAGCAGAAAGCTAATACCCACCCAGGAAATAGCAAATAAATGCCTTCCTCTATCGAGGTAGTCCCTCTGCCTGGGCCAGCCCCCTGAGCAACCCTCTCTCCTGTTCCCTGAGCACACCTGTCCCTCTCACCGCCATCTCTGTGGGCCTGCAGGGAGGTCCCTGCTCTGGTAGCTACGGGGTGTTGGCCACCATCCTTACACCTTCCTCACGGACAGCAAGACAAACATTTGGCAAGAAATAATCTTCAGCACTCGCTGGTTTGGCTCAGTGGACAGAGCGTCGGCCTGCAGAAGGTTCTCAGGTTTTATTCCGGTCAAGGGCACATGCTAGCGTTGTGGGCTTGGTCCCCATTAGGGGGCCTGCAGGAGGCAGCCACTCAGTGATTCTCTCCCATCATCGATGTTTCTCTCTCGCTCTCTCTCTCTCTCTCTCTCCCCCCTTTCCTCTCTGAAATCAATTTAAAAGAATAAAAGTAAAACATCCAAAAGAAAACAGGAAGTCATCTTCACCTTCCATGAGGCAGACTGGGCTATAGGTTAGGGGACTGACAACACTGATGCTGTGCCTGCGCCTACCGTGTTCACCGCGGAGTAGTAGGCCCAGGCCCGGCAGGCAGAGCCGGGGTTCTCGGGCCCCGCCCTCGCGGTGGCGTGCCACACGTAGGTGTAGCTGCTGTTGGGCTGGACGGCATTGTCTTCCTGGAACCACTCAGGAGACTCGTCTTCATAATTCTTTCCCTCCGACGACTTTTCATAGAAAAGCCCATGGGCGTGAAGAGAATACGGTCTGGATGCTAAATTTTTGAAACGGACCTAGAAAAAAATGATGATCCACAACACCCTTCAGCTTAACAACACGCCAGTTGCCACCGAACTTTTGTATATGATTTCCTCTAACATTTACTAGCGCTCTGCGAGATGGGGCCCACGCAGTTCCCCCCAGAAATGCCGAACCACGCTTGTTCCTCGCTCAAAGCAAAATTATCGCCCTTATCTACAATGCAATGCTGCCGATAGGAGCTCTGGATCTGAAGGCCGTGAGGCGTGGCTTTGTCCCAGCAAGCTTTCTGCCTGCTGGGGAAGAGAGGCTGCACGTGTGAATTCAAGTTAAACCCTGGGAACAAAAGGTGTGGTACATCACATGTGAACGGGTTGGAGAGAAGTCCCTGGGAGGAGCAATGCCGCTGAGTGTTTAGAAAGGGTGGAGGGAATGAAAGGAAGGCTCCTAGGGGGAGCGGAGTGGTGCTTACAGAACAAGTAGGAGCTCAGCAGAGGGAGAAATAGAGTCATAAGATGTTTTTCCCTTGGGGATTGCCAAATATTTGGCAACTAACTGTCTTTGAGAAGAAATGTCATTATCTATTAATTTTGGAAAATAAGTAAACCCAACCGGCCAGTATGGCCCAGTGGTTGAGCATTGACCTATGAGCCAGGGTGCCAAGGTTGGATTCCCAGTGCCTGGGTTGTGTGCCCGATCCTCCACTAGGGGGTGTGCTGGAGGCAGCCGATCAATGATTCTCTCTCATCATTGATGTTTCTCTCTTCCCCACTCCCTTCCTCTGTAAAATCAATAAAAATATATTGGGGGGGGGGGGAGAGAAAGAAAATAACTAAATCACTCTTGGCTCTCCCACCACCTGGCCTTTGCAGCCCTCCGGAGCTGGTGGGAATGACTTACTTGGATAACGTCATCCACCTCGGCTCGAATGACAGGGCCAAGCATGCCAAGATGCTCTTCAGACTCTCCCCGAGGGTCCCGTCTGGTGAAAGTGCCGTCCAGGTACTTTCGGAAAACTACTTTCTTGTATACGGTGTCCTTTGGAACCTCACTGGTGTCTTCATCATCCATTTCACTGAGATGATAAAGACAGAATTTTTTACAAGAACAAATGAAAGACCATTCAAAGAATTTAGGAGCCGAAACCGATTTGGCTCAGTGGATAGAGCATCAGTCTGCAGACTCAAGGGTCCCAGGTTCGATTCTGGTCAAGGGCATGCACATTGGTTGCGGGCACATCCTAGTGGGGGGTATGCAAGAGGCAGCTGGTCGATGTTTCTCTCACTCATCGATATTTCTAACTATCTCTCTCCCTTCCTCTCTGTGAAAAATCAATAAAATATATATTTAAAAATTAGCATACAAAAAAAAAGAATTTAGGAAATGGTCTCTGTTTCTGGATATAACATCTAGCATAGAGAAGATATTTAACACGTTTCATGAGCAAATGAGGGAAAATATAAATAACTAAAAAACACAAGCCAGTTAGCTATCCAGCTGCCAGCTCAGATATCATTTCTTTGGCCTAGGTCAGATCTCTGGAAGCATTCCTCCATTTCTATAGTAGTATTATCGTGCATATAGTAAAACCCTATAGGGTTTCAGCATTTCTGTAGTCTATACAGTAAAGTATGTACCACTTATCTGTGTGATTATCTATTAGTACCTGGCCTGTCACTAGAGGAGAAGCCCCATGAGGTAGGGATTGTGCCTAGTTAGCTCACGGTTTTAATGCCAGTGCCTCACAGATTACCTGGCACCAGGCTGCAGCGGAGGAACACATATATGCTTAGCTAGTTTGCCCAGAATTATCTCCCGGGACTGCTGAAATTACGTTTCTGGCAGTAGTGGAAAAACGAGAAGAGATGAAAACACTGGCCAGACCTTTCTGCGTATTTTGCGTAATCCCAGGATATTTCTTCCGCAGCAATGTAGTAATACTTCCTGTTTCCGTTGCTGCTCCGGAGGTACGATGCTGCAATGCGGTCCGGGTTTCTGGAGGAGGTGATGTCGGTCCTAACGTCCGTTTGGTAAGGGTCATCGTAGGCCACAAGGTTCATTTCTCGAGCGTCTTCTTCACTGCTCTCTTGTTTCTTCCTCGGAATGATCTCAATGAGCTCTCCATTTTCTCCACTGAAGCCAAACACAACTTCTGGATCCAGTTCGCTTGTTATAGAGGTGTTATAGAGGGGAGGAGATGGCTGCGGAGATGGCATCTGACCAAAGTCTGAATAAGGGAAAGTATCATCAAATTCTGGAAGAAGCGGGGATGGACTGGATTCGGAAGTGTAGGCTGTTTGAGCAAGGTCTGGAGGAGGTGATGTCTGCCTGAGATCAGGAGGAAGGCTTGTCTGAGTGAAGTCTGGAGAGGGAGTTGCATGGCTGAAGTCTGGGGAGAGAGTCTCCTGGCCCAGGTCAGGGGAAAGGGTCATCTGGTAAAGGTCAGGGGGAAAGGTCATCTGGCCAAGGTCAGGGAGAAAGGTTGTCTCTCCAAGGTCAGAAGGAAGGGTCATCTGGCCGAGGTCAGGGGGAAGAGTCGTCTGGCTGAGGTCAGGGGGAAGGGTCGTCTGGCCGAGGTCAGGGGGAAGGGTCGTCTGGCCGAGGTCAGGGGGAAGGGTCATCTGGCCGAGGTCAGGGGGAAGGGTCGTCTGGCCGAGGTCAGGGGGAAGGGTCGTCTGGCCGAGGTCAGGGGGAAAGGTCATCTGGCCAAGGCCAGGGGGAAGAGTCATCTGGCCAAGGTCAGGGGGAAGGGTCGTCTGACTAAGTTCTGGAGGGACGGTTGTCTGCCAGACTTCACGTTCTGAGGAAGGGGACACTTGTCCGGTGTCGGCAGGGAAGGATGGGGTTCCTCCATCGGAGTCAGGCATCTGGCCAGGCTCTGGAGAAGCTGTGTGACTGGGGCCTGTAGGGAACTGCGTTTGGTCAGGGTCTTGACTCGGGGACGTTTGGTAGAGCTGTTCCGGGGGCACTGTCTGGTACACGTCTGGCGAGAAGCGTGTCTGCCCGGTGCTGATAGGGAGACTGTGATTACGGTCAGGAAGGGAGGCTGCCAGGCTGAGGTTCCCAAGGGGGAATGTCTGAGCGAGGTCTGTGGGAAGAGACGTCTCGTTGGCCTTGGGAAGGACGTCCGAAAGGGTGAGGTTTTCCTCTCCTCTGGGGAAGTTCCGTGGAGGGAGGGGAGCGTGGTACACAGGCTTCTTTTTCCGTGTCCGAATGAGAAACGTGCTGTTTCTCATGCTGCTGGTTCTTCCAGGTCTTGTCTGTAGAAATTTATGCTGCACGCCAGAAAACTTTGGGTGGCCACCTTGCTTCCCATGCCTGTGGGCTAGAGGGACGCGTTCTCCCCACGTCTTGGAGGCATTCTGGGGGCTGTCCCACAGCTTATTCACCGCCATGTCTCCATCAGCCTCCGGGACTATTTCATAGCTACCTCTTTCAGAAACCACGTGCCATCTCTGATTCAAAACTGTAGACAGAGTCCTGTGTTTTAAGAGTAACAGATCACTGGGAAGGTCCTTCCAGGGCCCCATGATGGAAGAAGAGTTGCCTTGGCTTAAATGTCCCCTGGTTTTATGTCCTAGAAATTTCATCTGGGAGAACCTGTGCCTTGCCTCCAATCTCTTACGTAGAGCCTGCCCTTGAATCCTTCTGAATCCTTCTGCACCACGAGGTCGGAGGCTTGTCCCTGTGATCTCTGGCTGTAGAGGGTCCTCCTCAGAATCTTCGGAATAAGAGCTGGAATGCTCTGCTGCAGAAGGGCTGAGAGCTGAGTTCTTTTCTAAGCCGGGCCCCACCTGGGGACCAGCTGAGGTGGTTTCAGAATGAGGAAGGGTTTTGTTAGGTTCTGCAAATTTATTGTCCGTGAGCCTGCTAATGTTGCTTGGGAAAGAAGAATTTGAATCAGCAGCTGAATCAGTACTTGGAGGAATGAATTCAGAGCTGTTCTCCAGGGCTATGGCAGTAAGATTGAACTCATCTTCCTCCTGATTCTGTGATGAATTTCTGAATGACCTAAGTCCTAATAATGAAGCCAGTTGATCCTGGTAGTCATAATCAGCAGAATCTCCTTCACCTTGGTTTTCCGGAAACTCTCGCATTTTCCGTGTATCCATGGATGTAGATGGTTGAGGTTCATATATTTCATATCCATCTTCATCACTCCGGAGACACTTAACATCCCTGAATCTCAGCCTTAGGTTTCTGCTCCTTGGATTAGAATTCATGGTAGTTAACATCCAAGTTCCTAGAGAAGCAAGGCAGACAGAATAGAGAGCTTTAAGTCCAGAAAAACATATACTAGGTGTATCTGTTAATAACAGTGGATTTTGTAATCAAAGAAAACGCGATAATTTCAAGAGAAACAGCAAAAGTGCTTTATTCAAAGTAATGCCCATCGCTAGCTACACATTTCCCCCATCTTTCAGGTAATTTGTGGGTGCCATTCCAATAGAACTTTTACTGTTTTGAGGCAAACCATTCAGAGACCCAATTTTCCACTTCTTTGTTCGTTTTGAAGTGCTGCTCAGAAAGTGCATGTGCCATCAATCAGAACAGTGGTCATCTGAAGGAGCAAGGTCTGGTGAATACGGCGGGTGGGTTAATACTTCCCAGGCAGGATCTTTTAACGTGCCTTTAACTGGTTTTGAAGTGTGTGATGCTGTGTCATCATGAAGCAAAATTACTTTGCCGTGTCTTCTGGACCATTCTGGTCATTTCATGATCAAAGCATGGTTTAAATTGGTATGTGTTGTCGGTAACAATCAGTATTAATGGTTTCATCTGGTTTTAGAAGCTCATAATACAGCACACCTTCCCGATCCCACCAGACGCGATTTGGCCTTGCAGTCGATGTTGACAGTTGACCTGGATCAACCCACGATTTTGTGCATTTGGGATTCTCAGAATAAATCCACTTTTCATCGCCAGTCACAATTCGATGCAAAAAAAGAATTTCTTTCATGCCATTGAAGCAACATTTTACTGATGACTTTTAGTTTTTCCATTTGTCTTTTGTTCTCTTGACGTGGCACCCATCTTTCTTCCTTTAAAATCTTTCCCGTTGTTTGTAAATGATTGGAAATTGTTTTGCTGACAACGTTTAATCTTTCTGCAAGTTATTTTTTTTAGTTTGACACGCATCTTCATCCAACAATGCTTGTAATTGTTGGTCTTCAAACTTTTTTGGTTGACCTGGACTTTCTTTGTCTTTCACATCGAAATCATCACTTTTAAAGCATTTAAACCAGGGTTCACAAGTATCTTGAGATGGAGCATGTTCACCATAAGCTTCCCAAAGTATATGGTAACTCTCAGCAGCACTTTTCTTCAAAATAATGAATTAAAACTTCCGCAAATGCTCTTTTTTTTGGCACAAAATTCAACATTTTTAAGTGTAAAACTATCTATGATGTTAACACTTTCAGAAAATTTGACATATGAAATTTTGAAGCTTGCTATCAATACAATAAAATAGCATACCTATCCTATCACATGTATATCTACATATGTGTAACTCCATCTATTGAAAAAAATCCGCATTATTAACCAGTACAACTAGTAAAATCCCTAGCATTTATTGTGGCAGATAATTTTCAACAAACTTTGACCAGGGATACTCAAGTGTGGCCTGTGGACCTCTGCTGCCCTGTGAACTGTTGGTTATGGGTCCACAGAGCCACAAGCAGGAAAATGAGAGTCAGGCACTTACGACAATTATGAGCAATTTGACATTGCTGTGACACCCAAGCATGTGATCCATGCACTTACCTTGTTTAACAGAGTATGGACCAAAGGTATTGGTCAGCGGAGAGCAGGGAGAAAAAAATCATCATAGTGCAGATAGTTTGAGAGTCGCTATTTCAGAATATATTTTAAAATGGATGAATTGAGAATAAAATGAATTTTAATCATATCCATCTTGTTAGCTGCACCTCTTGTTTGAGAACTGTAGTTGGGGGAGGATGATGATATCTACCCCCAGAAATAAGAGACATTTAGGTATTTCCAGCTGACCAATAATTCACGTGGGTCCAGGGAAATTTTGAATCTCTTTGAAATGGTGTGATTTGCCGGCACACTGAAGATTTCCTGGGAAGTGTCCAACAGTTACCATTTGCTGAGCATCTACTGAGTGCTGGACACTTGGCGGCACATATTATAATTAACTAGAGGCCCGATGCACAAAATTCGTGCATGTGGGAGGGGCTGTCCCTCAGCTCAGCCTGCATCCTCTCCAATCTGGGACTCCTCAGGGGATGTCCAACTGCGGGTTTAGGCCAGGCCCATGGAGATCAGGACTAAACCAGCATTCGAACATCCCTCTCACAATCTGGGACTGTCGGATCCTAACCACTCACCTGACTGCCTGCCTGATTGCCCCTAACCACTTCTGCCTGCCAGTCTGATCACCCCCTAAGAGCTCCCCTGTCGGCCTGATTGATACCTAACTGCTCCTCTGCTGGCCTGATCACCCCCAACTGCCCTCTTCTGCAGGCCTGTTCACCCCAACTGCCCTCCCCTACCATTTTGGTTGCTCCCAACTACCCTCCCCTGTTGTTGCCCCCAACTACCTTTCCCTGCTGGCCATCTTGTGGCAGCCATCTTGTGGCAGCCATATTGTGATGATGTGAGGGCGTGGTGTGAGGGCCACCTAGGCTTTTATTTACATAGATGACCAAAGCAACTCTGTTAGCTGCTGTTGTTCTGTGTGGGTGTGTTTTGTTTTTTCAGATGAATAAACTGAGCATCAGTGAGGTCAGGTCAGCTGCCCACGGCTATACCAGTGTTGTGTGGCCAGGCAGGATTTGAACTCAGGGCTGATGAACTCCAAAGCTCACGTGCTTTCCAGGGTGCTGTACTGTGTCTGAGGCCTAGGCACTATACCTGATGATCACTAACCCTGGCACACATGGCTGTCTTATAAAACTGGAAAGGCCATTTTGATAAAAAAAAAAAAAAAAAGTGTCTTTTTGAGACCGAATGTTCACGCTTCCTCCTCAGAGTCATGCGGTGTCTTCTGCGGATGTGTGCCTTTACTTCTCACTGACAGAAAAAGATGAACGGAACCCACATTAAAGGGCTGGGCCCACTGAGACCATTCATTCCCCAAACTGAAGTCATGACAAGTATCAGAAGGAAAGCCTGCAGGGGATCTGAGAGCTGAGCCCGGACCTGAGCCTGGAGCGGTGTGGCAGACCCAGGGTCCAGGAGTCCCCGTCCACGCCAGCTCTTACCCACGTTGTCCATCGTGACAGTCACCGATTCCCCGTGCATGGGGAAGAGCGTCAAGGTGTCCTCGTGCCTCTTCCCGTAGACGAAGGAGTGCCCAGTGAAGTGGATGGTCAGGAAGTCGTCCTGGGTGCCCATGCTGCAGAAGTGCCACTGGATGGTGTCATCAAAGCAGAACCCGAGCGTGGAGATGCTGTCGGGCACGAACCCGTTGATGGCTGAAAGAGTCGAACCAGTTAAAACGCCAGGCCCATGCCAGCGAGCGGGCACATGCATAATCCCTAAAACACACGTCCCAGTGTTCATTTGGTTGCATCAAAGCAGTGATTACCTGAGACCAGCTCTGCCAGGTCTAACATGTGACCACAAGTTCACACCCAGACTCCCCACAGCAGTGGCTCTGAACTTAAAACTGCAGCACATGGCTCAGGGAGTACTTGCTGTTCTGAGTGTCTTACTGCACATGTCACACCCCTCCCCCAGAAAGACTGCAAAACTCCCCGCTCCCCATACACACTAACCTTTTCAGTGTGATTTGAAAATCGGTTTTGAGTTACTTATGTTGTTTCTGCCCTGGCCATAGAGTATCACCTTGCACCCACAATGTCTATTGTGTACCCCAGACACCACAGGCCAAGGTGTGCAGCCCCTTCCTTTACCACTCCCTCACCTGTTCTTCTCTGCCCAGAGCACGCGCACAGGTACACACACACACACACACACACACACACACACACGGAGCAGGAGACCAAGAAGACATGTAAGGATAACAAGCTTTTGACCTCTCGCTGTAAAAAGGTTTCCATTTTGGCTCAGTGGATAGAGTGTTGGCCTACGGACTGAAAGGTCCCAGGTTTGATTCCGGTCAAGGGCATGTGCTTTGGTTGCGGACACATCCCCAGTGGCGGGTGTGCAGGAGGCAGCTGGTTGATGTTTCTCTCTCATCAATGTTTCTAACTCTCTGTCCCTCTCTCTTCCTCTCTGTAAAAAAATCAATAAAATATATATATATATTTTAAAAAGGTTTCCATGAATCTCCCTTTATGTAATTTCATCATCAAATCCCCGGATGAAGGTGAAGCTGAGATGAGAGTTGGTTCTCATCCACGTCTGCCTCTAGGCTCTGCCACACTTCGACCACACGAGTGAGAAGGTGATGGACAGAGAGGAGAGCGTGCTCTACTCACTGCTCATGATGTTTGACTCGTAAAACTTAGGGTCGTCACGGTTCACCTCCTCGGGATTCTCACAGAACTTGTAGATGTTGTCCTCAATGTACCAGCTCTTGTTCTCATCGAACACAGCGAACACGGCCTGCTGCTCGATGTCTGCCGCTCTCTGCGGGGAAAAGAGCTGCATTCTAACATCCCCACCCAAAACCCACAGCTCAGACACCCCAGGGCGAGGTCCTTGGGGCCACGGAAGCCAAGCATTCAGGCCTTGGTAAGAGCCCCCTGTGTGCAAAGCCCTCGTGAGAGCCAAAGGTATTGCGCAAAAGCAGATTAGGAAATTCAGAGACTAAAATATCCTAACAGAAAAATCCCATTTGTCATGGCGACTGTCATTCTGCTTATCTCTGTGATGGAACACCTTTCCACTGGACTGATGGACTGACGGGGTGTGCTCCGAACCATTGCAAGGAATAAAGCAGGAGGCTGCAGTAGGAAAGCTTCATACTTCTCCCTACGTGTTTCCTTTCCAGGTTCAATAAATTAGGGTCTTCCCAATGTTCGTTTCTGATTTTCCTAGCATATATTTATTTTGTATGCCTTGGATGAGACCTTTTTTTAAAAAAGTATAGCTTAGCCTAATTGCCTGTGAATTTAATGGAGCTTAGTAACATGAGACTCGTCTACAGTGAAGATCGGGTCAGAAGATCTAGGTCTTTGTCTAGTTCAATCTCGCTAGAGATGGACCCTTGTCAAGATGCAGTCTCCCCAAAAGCCATGTGTCCCGCGTATCTATCATCTCTCTTTCTCGTGCAGATCTCTACAGACAACAAGGATCAGTTCAGAGCCTTACACTCCTGCCAGTTGCTACCTCCCTGAGCCCCCAAACAACCTGTAATTCTTAGGGTGGGTATTACCAATCTCATACAAGGAAGAAACTAAGAGAGGCTGAGAGACTTGCATGCAGACAATAACAACAGACCTGGACTTTGAAATTAGAACAAAGCTTGGCTTCACACCATAACCTTGCCTTCTGCAGTGAGAGTCTGGGTGACAATGGACAAGACAAAAAGTTCCCAAAGGAGTACATGCCCTCACAGGCACACTCCAGGGGACTACTTAATGTAATGTTTTCTGTTCCAGAAAAGGTCCGCTACTTAGCAAGGAGACCTAGTCTGTTCCAGCAGGAAGACATTCCTGGAATTTCTGAGTGGGTACGCAAAGGACAAAATACCTGTATGCCTCGTGTGTCCAGGGATCTGCTCTTACAAATCAAAAGTAGCCCTATGAGCCCCGAGGCAATGTCCCTTGTGACGTCCACATTACTGTAGTACGGTCTTGTTAAGCACTGGGCGTCATTGTCTGTGGGCTCGTCAGACTCCAGAATATTCCATTTGTAAGTGTAGGTTTCCCCTGGTTGAACTGCTCTGATCATGGTGTTACTGCCTGAAAGAAAATATAGTCAGAATGATTTTCATTTTCAAAATTATTTTTACGAGAATGAATGATACAATGGAGCTCTCACTGCAGGCAATTACTATTGGGAAAGGAATATTCTTTTTATATTAAGATCCACTTAATAGAACCCTGGATTGCATGCAGTCATCAGATCTTGTTCCCCTAGAGGCCGCTGTGGCAAGCATGTGAAACTCAAAGGCTAACACAGGCCAAATAAACAAGGTGTAAGTGTATGTGGCCGCAAAAAACAAAAGCTTCAATTGTCATAGAAACGCAGGTTTATTTCGATAGAGACATGCTGAATACAAAGGGCTGAAATAAATGAGTCATTGTTAACATAAAATAATAGAACATTTTAATAAAAATTAATATTTTTCTTGGACATTAACTTACCAGACATGGAATAACGGCACAAATTAGTAAGTGTAACACAAATAAACCTGTTTTTCTTGTTCTCCAAAAGCGAAATATTTCGTGTTGCGCACACCAAACAAGTTAGTACAAGACTAATGACGTGGACATCAGCTGCTAAAATATTTGCTGCTGGTATTAGTGGAGAAAAATGGTGCATCTGTGCATAAGGCGAGTAAGGGAAATGAATGCAACACGATTACAGTTATCAGTCATTTAAGAATGTTGTAGTTCATTATTAATAATTATGTAGAACAGGATATTGTAAAAATTAAGTTACGAAATTTTTATTAAAATGTTTCTTACATACGTTATATTGGCTGGGCTACAAAAATTTTTGTTATGGGCCGAATGTAGCCCATGAGCCTCGAGTTTGACATGCTTGCTGTAGGGTAAGTAACCCCTGAGATGAGCAGGGTTTCCTGTGGCTTTTAGGATCCCTGCCCATGTGTGGATACTACCTGACTGCACAAGGTTTACTACTGATCAAGGGGGACAGTAGAAAAAGATGGTAGCTTCTCGGAGGTCAATAGTTTCATTCAGGAGAAGTGAAAGATTCAAACCTGAGGAGAAGGAAGAGTTGGCTTCGTCTTCAAAAGGAGAGAAGGTCACGCCATGAGGGTAAATGCTGTAGGGGCGGCTGGCCATATTTTTGAATGTGATCTACAAAGTTAACTCAGATTCATTATTCGGGACTTAAGGCTGATCATGCGCATTAATAGGGGATGTTAACTTTGCATGCTCACTTGTTGGATGGTGTGTGCATGCATGCAATCTTGTTCTGTTTACCTGAGCAGAAATCTCTCTGTCACCCGACGGAAGCATCTGAGAGAGTTTCACCTCACACGGTAGTCTGACCTTAGAAGTGACATTTCCTCACAGTACACCACCCCCTCTGAGCTGGTCCCCATATCCTTCCCGTCTCCTTTCAGCTCAGACCCCATCTGTTTCCATTTCCTGCTCCTCCTCTTCTCTACACCATGACCTCCTTCTCCAGCTGGCCAGGTTTCCCAGAACCCCGTCCTTGAGGCTGTGTCCTAAGGGCATGGCTAAGAGCCGGATCCTCAATTTCCAACGAGGTGAATTCATACTCCCTCAGAGCACCTCAGAGGGATCAGAGATGAGGGAAGGGAAAGAGCAACAGAGAGAGGCTGCTTCTGGTCCTTTGGTTATTTTCAAATGAACAGAATTGGCCTTTTCTGCAGATGCCCTCCTAGCTCCACCCATGCAGCGGTGAAGTATGGTCTTAGAAAGCACTGGGTGTCATTTTAGGAGCATTATCTACACAGGGGTCCTGGTTAGGCTCATTAATCTTCAAAAGAGAACCTTGATTGTATCTTTGGTTGATTGCCAAAGCATTTAGGTCATCCTGTATCTGTAGATAATCTGCATTCTAGAATCTTGCCAAAGATTGCAACCTTTAATTCTCTGCTTCCCGTGTTTATAAAAAGCTTGATGAACCTGGCCAGCATAGCTCAGTGGTTAAGCATCGTCCTCTGAACCAGGAGGTCATGGTTCAATTCCTGTGAGGGTACATACATGCCTGGGTTGTGGCTCGATTCCCAATATGGGCAGCCGATCAATGATTCTCTCTCATCATTGACATTTCTACCTCTCTCTCCTCCTTCATCTCTGAAATCAATAAAAATATATATATATTTTTAAAAAGCTTGATGATGTGTTATAGCATTAAAGGAAAACTCTCTGAACAACACTCAGTCTCATGATAAATATATAAGTTTTTTAGTGTGTCTTTATCAGAGATCAGACTTCAGAGAATTATATACCAAGACCACAGTGAAGAATTTTTTCTCAATGGTATTTATTGTGATATTCTTAGCTATAATGAGAAACACTTTTATAAGGCTCTACAATATTTTTTAAAAATATATATTTTAATAAAAATATATATTTTATTGATTTTTACAGTCAGGAAGGGAGAGGGATAGAAAGTTAGAAACATTGATGAGAGAGAAACACAGATCAGCTGCCTCCTGCACACCACCTACTGGGGATGTGCCCACAACCAAGGTACATGCCCTTGATTGGAATCGAGCCTGGGACCCTTCAGTCCGCAGGCCGATGCTCTGTCCACTGAGCAAAACCAGCTAGAGCTATAATATTTTTATTTATTGTAAAAATTGTAGGGATTTTATCAAGGAATCTATCCATTGCATCAGATAGCACCCTCTTTTCAAGGATCTGTGGGAGAAATTCTTCTCTGGACGCTGTGCTTCTTTTATGACTACTGTGATTCTGGCCCTAACAGATTTCCTTTTTTACTTTGGCTGCTAGAAAGCTCAGGAAAAAAAATGCAAACAACCTTATAAGACCATATGCTGGGTGTTTCATTATATTTACCTTATCCTTGGTTTTCTTTTCTTTGTACCCAATATTATTCACCCCAATTACATTGACTATTTTGTTCTTTTATAATTTGATAAACTAGCTCAGATTCTTTGTATTATGGGGTAAGCTATAAATAAGTGCAAATACTAAATAAAAAAATAAAAGTTGTATTTGAATTAAAAATTACATGGACACCTTAAAAAGAAAAACAACAGCCAGTACTTTTAATGTCTTTTGTTACTTAACTTCTTTCACATGGACCTACATTTCTGTTACTCACTTTGAGCGTGTCTCTGACCTGGGCTCTGATAATAGGGCCCAAGATCCCATCTTCGTTGTTTCTGGACTCCTCCAGGCGTTTGGTGAAGGTCTCATCTTGGTACTGCTTGTATACAACTTTCTTATAATGTTTTCCAATTTGGTTGGAGAAATTATCCAAGTGCATAGATCTGTATTTTCTTAAAGTGAAATGAAATATTAAAAAATTAATCATTTTCTCAAGTAGAGACCCCAGTAGGATGGGGAAACCCTATGTTTAGAAGTTCTGCTCTTGGATTAGCTAAAAAACAAACAAACAAACAAAAAAACCAACTCCTAATATGATTTGCAAAGTCTTGATATCTTCCATCTAGTTGGAAAACTGGAATCCTCTGAACCATGATAAAGTCATAATCATGGTTAAAAGCAGCTTTTTAGATCCTCCTATCCCTTTGGTTACTAGAGCAGACCTTAGATATCTTTGAGGAAAGGACCTGATGAAAGGACTGGATGAAAGAATGGGATATTTTTCTCAAGTCTTTCCTATCACTTCATTTATGGTACCCTGATTGGCTTTCCTGATATTTCTCAATTTATAAAAGTACTTCCTCACTCCAGGAAGTTTTTACTATCTTTTAAAAAATATATATTTTATTGATTTTTTTTTTAACAGAGAGAAAGGGAGAGGGATAGAGAGTTAGAAACATCAATGAGAGAGAAACATCGATCATTCTGCATTCTGCACACCCCCAACTGGGGATGTGCCCACAACCAAGGTACATGCCCTTGACCGGAATCGAACGTGGGACCCTTAAGTTCGAAGATCAATGATCATATCCACTGAGCCAAACCGGTTAGGGCAATTTTTACTATCTTTGTTAGACATGCTCTGTGCTGCTGGTCTATTCTGTTTACCACCTACTCAGTCTAGGTACCAACTGAGAAGCCACCACCGTCACCCAGCTTCTGCAGTTCTTTGATAAATTATTAGGAAGCAGCAATAAGAACCACTTCACTCCTTGGTCCTCTTTATTACCTTAAAATATCTTGGTAAAAGCAGAAGCTTTGTGATGGATTTATCCATTTCATCCATTTATTTTGCATAATAAACAGCACTGACTGTTGTCAGAGAGACCCAGGTCCCTATCTTAGTTCTGTCAATTATTATATAATCAATTCCTTTTTTGATGTTTTTAATAGCAAATACATTCAAATGATTTTGATTAGTGAGAACTCTCACTCACATACTATATCCTCTCAACCCCACCTCTCTACCTCTCGGCATTTTCTAAGTATTCACTTATATTAATGTGTACAATTCCAGGAAATCTTTATGCACAACCCTTCCAAGATTTGGGAAGTTTTCAACCATTATGTTTAAAGAAGCTTTCTGTCCCTTTCTCTTCTTTTCCTTCAGACTCTTACAGTGCACGTTAGTTCTTTTGATGCCATTCCATAATTCCTATAAGCTTTCCTCATTCTTTTTCATTCATTTTTCTCCTTGTTCCTATAAGTGGGTAATTTCAAATTACCTGTCCCTGAGTTTGCTGAATCTTTCTTCTGCACGATTGAATCTGGCATTAAAGCCCTCTATTGATTTTGTTATTGTATTCTTCAGTTCCAAGTTTTCTGTTTGGTTTTTCTTATTGTTTATTAGACTTCTCATTCTGTTCATACATTGTTTTCCTGAATTTGGTTAGTTGCCTGTCTGTGTTCTCTTGCACTGCAATGAGGTTTTTTAAGTAGAGTATTGTACATTATTTATTTGTCAGGCACTTCATAGATCTCCAACTCTTTGAGGTTGGTTCCTAAAGCTGTATTAGTTTCCTTTAGTGGTGTCATATTTGCCCGATTCTTTGTGGCTTGTGTCGCCTTGAGCTGGTATCTGTGCATTTGAAGAAGCAGCCTTTACATACTGAGTTTGGCAGGCAAAGAACTCCTCCCGACAAGTGTCCCACTGATGGGATCACTTTTGGGATGACAGCCAAGTGAGGTTGGATCAGGTCACATGGCTGCTGGCGGGCAAGCCTTTACCAAGAGCTCAGATGTGTATGGGTCCTGTCTGGTCCGTGGAAGATGGGACAGCCTCCAGGACCTTAGTCAGTAGAGCTGGTGCTGGAATAATGGTCCATTTTAGGGTCCTCAGTGGAGTTTGCAAATGGTAGGCCTGTTACCAGGTGTGTAAATGGGTATGGCTCCCATCTGGTCCTTGGGAGGGCTCCCATCATGTTCCTGATGGGCAGGACTGCTTCTGGACTGCAGCTGGGAGGGCTGGAGCTGGGTTGTAGGACCACTTCAAGATCTGCACTGGGACCAAGGCCGGCAGGCCAGCCTCCAGGCTCATGGACAAAGGGTAGCTTGTCAAACAATGTAGCAGGAACTGTAGCTGAGTCCATAAGAGGACGAGGCTGCTTCTAGGCTTGTAACCTGGACTACAAAGAGCAAAACTACCACCTGAGCATGACTCGCTTTCTCAAAACAGCCCCCCGAGGCCTGGCTTTCCTTGTGATTTTGTGTTTCTACCTGGATTGCAAAGCTCTCACAAAGGCACTTTTGTTTGTGGATGGCTGGCAACTATTGTTGCTGTCGGGGAGAGGGGTAAGGGCTCCCCTATTCTACCATCTTGCCCCCCTGACTTTTTAGTTTAACAATGGAGAACTTCTTATATTAGTGCATAAAGCATGTTTGCATCCTTTTAAAACAGATGCATGGTATTCCATGTCTGGATATCCCATAATTTATTAAACCAATTTCTTATTGATGGACATTTAGGGTTGTTTCTAATCTTTTGCTACTACTAACAGGGTAGCAATGACTATCCTGTATGTACAACATTTTTTCTGAGAATGGTATATCTCAATAGTAAATTCTCAAGGTGAAATTGCCGGGTCAAAGGGTGTAGGAATTTATAATTTTGACACAAATGCCAGATTATCCTCTAAATGGCTCTTCCAGTTTACTCTTCCACCAGCAAAATGGCAGTGCCTGCTTCTCACAGCCTTGCCAAGAGATTACATCACCTGCACTGTGAGTCTGCTGGATGGAAAACAGTATTTCCGAGAAGTTTAATGTGCATTTCCCTCACTGTGAGTGAGCCTGAGTACTTTTTTCAGATGTTTCAGAGCTATTTTGAATTTCCAGATTTATTAATATCCCTGACCTATTTCCTACTCTACTTAATAAATAAGCTGTCTCTCACTTCTAGAGATAAAGTGAAGCTCATAGGAAGGATTTAACACAGTGCTTGGCAATAGCAAACATCCAACAAGTGGTAGCTGCTATTATTATTATTATTATTATTATTATTATTATTATTATTAGAGGCCTGGTGCACAAAGTTTATGCATGGGAAGGGGGGTGTCCATCAGGCCAGCCTGCACCCACTCCAATCTGGGACCCCATGAGGGATGTCCGACTGCCCATTTAAGGCCAATCCCAGTGGTATCTGGCCTAAATGAGCAGTCGGATATCCCTCTCACAATCCAGGACTGCTGGCTCCCAATTGCTCTCCTGCCTGCCTTCTTGATTGCCCCTAACCACTTCTGCCTGCCAGCCTGATCACCTTCTAACCACTCCCCTGCCAGCCTAATTGTTCCTAACTGTCCTCCCCTGTAGGCCTGGTCCCCCCAACTACCCTTCCCTGCATACCTGGGTCCCCCCCCCAACTGTCCTCACCTGCAGGCCTGGTCCCCCCCAACTGCCCTCCTCTGCCAGCCTGATCACCCCAACTGCCCTCCCCTGAAGACCTAATCTCCCCCAACTGCCTTCCCCTGCTGGCCATCTTGTGGTAGCCATCTTGTGTCCACATGGGGACAGCCATCTTGCGTGTTGGAGTGAAGGCCAGTTTGTATATTACCTCTTTATTATATAGGATTATTATTATTATTTCCCCTTTGGTGAGTTTGGGGTAATTCCAGGTAGATTTTGAACAAGACCTGAATGGAACCCAAAACATGTAATCCCCTGAGAGCTGTCAACTCCTGACACCTCACCCACGCACCCAGGACCCTGTGGAACATGCCTGAGCCTTTGCTCAGTAGTCAGAACCCCAAACTCACTTGTTCATGTTCAGCGGAATGAAAGGTGCGTAGTCCCAGATGACTTCCTCGGCAGCGATGAAGTATTCCCACCTCTTCATGTGCCGCCGCTGCTCCAGCGTCAGTGGCTTGTAACTCCGCGTCCTCTTTGCGCAGTTTTCAATGTTGATGTGAGCCTGCATCCCAGCTGAGTTAATACACAGAGTCAGTGAAAGAATTGGGGAGAAGGAACTAAGGCTGAGCAAACTGTGTAACTTTTCAACAGCGGAAGGGTGAACTGACACCGGTGAAAGCAAGGGAGAGAGGGGGAAGGCTGGGGCAGGGGGGGGATCTGGGGAAGATTGACTTTGCTTCTTCCAGAGCAGAACATCTGTGGCTTCCAGATCCTGAAGACCCTATAACTTAGGTCTTGTTGATTTCTCATTTTTCCTGTCATCTGCCCCTTTATTTGTAAAATCAAAAGAATACAGTAATACTGTATGAAATTGCTAAAAATTAAATAAGTTAATACAAAAGCAAGTAACCTCAATAATGTTAGCTTTGTTGTTTTATGATCACTTGGGTGAACAATTTCATCAGTTCAAATATAATTTTGACTGCTCAGTGCAAAAAAATACCATAGTACCCGAGTTGGTTGGGCACTGTCCCGTGCACTGAAAGGGTGGATTCCTGGTCAGGGCACATGCCCAGGTTGCAGGTTCAATCCCCGGTTGGGGGTGTGCAAGAGGCAGCTCATCAATGTTTTTCTCTCACATCGATGTTTTTCTCTGTCCTTTTTCCTTCTTCTCTCTCTATAAATCAATAAAAAATCTTTTTTTTAATATAAAATAAAATGGTCTCAATCCTCTTTCTTATGTGTTTTGCTTGTACATATTTTTTTGGTAACAAAATAATTTCCTATACTAATATCATTTACCTATAATTTAGTCTCTGTTTATGAGACTATATTTTTAAAGCGACTACGTGTAATAGAACAATGAGTCTTTTGTGTACGTGAACCATGTAACAACCTGGGCTGGTCTTCCCCCACCAGAGTTCCCTGATATTCTTTCAAGCTCAGCCCTCAGCTGCTTAGGTTTTATGGTTGAGCCAGTCAGTGCACACTCGTTGGGTTCCTCTTTGTGCTCATTTTGCTCTAAAACTAAGTCTTTTCATGTTAAAACTTCTGCACTTTCTGTAACTGGACACTTCTATCCATTTGCATGTTTGCCTTGTTCTGGCATCCAGATCTTTTCTTGTAGCTCCATCCTAAACACCACAAGAAAGAACACCTCTGTGGGCGTTTCTCTCCTTCCTCCCTTTTCCTTTCAAGGAAGCAGAGACCTCTTCAGCTTTTGCTTCATTTAAAAAAGTCTTTGTCAATTCCTCCCCTTCCTCCACACCCAAGGAAGGCTGTAAATCTACGTGGAGAATGTAAGTTCTCCTCCCAGGGACCAAGGCAGGTATGTCTGGAGTGTGGGTGGCTTAAGAAGGCAGAGGGGAAGGAGGGAGTAAGCGCCTGGGAAAAGGGTCCCACATCCATAAGGAAGACTGTGGGAACGTTTCTTGCCTTGGAAGTGTTTGGTGGTGAGAGAGGAGATGACCCACGTCCCCTTGGGGCCCATCGTCATGTTTGCAGTCGTGGACGTGGCACTGACGAGGGTCACGGCTGAGACCTTGTGCTGGTTCTGCTCCAGGACCTGGCCATTGAAGTGAATGGAGAACAGTTCTGGCCCAGAGCTCATGCCGATCAGATGCCAGCTGACGTGGTCGTGGGCGCAGACAGCTATATCTGCGAGAGGAGGAGAGATGGGGAGCAAAGACAGGCAGTCAGCGCTCTGTGGTAAGAACCTCTTCACCCCAAAGGGATTGAGTACCTGCCATTGTGCAAGGTTCTGAGGAGCAGACCCTCCAGCGGTGGTGCCCGCCCTAGAAACGGAGACATCCGAGGGAAGGGCCAGCAGGCATTGCCACGCATTGCGGTGAGGGATGCTACAGAAGGAAGGGCAGAGCCCAGAGAGGGGCCTTGGTTCAGAGACGGATTGTAAGGGACTAAGCCGAGGAGGGAACCAAGCAGGTGGCCACCACCCTGGGTTACCGGGACCGAGGGGTTTCCCCGGATGCAGGTCTTTCATTGTTAGAACTGGGCAAGTCTGGGCAAGCCTGGCAGCTGGGCACCTACAGCCAATCTGGGCTCAGCGGGAGGGAGGCACCTGTCTCCATGAGGGCCGAGTTCAGAGCCTGATCATCTCAGCGGGACAGAGGGAGGGGCAAGCTCTGCTGGAGGGAAGGGGTGAAGGTGGTTCAGGATGGCCGCCTGCGCCTGTGCCCCTTGCTGGTCGCTTTAATGAGGCTGCCATGTGGGTCACAGGCTCCCCTTAAAATGCAGAGTCCTCAGTGTGGCTCCCCGGGAGCATTTCCTGGGCAGAGTTCTGAGACTGAGCACAAAGGCTGAGTCTGCTCCTCCTTTGCCCCCCAGCGACTGGGAAAGGCTCCTTTGCTGCGTGGGAGACCCCAGCCCTGGCTTCTCCCCGTGGTGTGGGCTTTAAGTTTCAGATCCACAATTACTCGATCCAAGCACTCACAACTCAGGGCAGCAGGTACTACCACAGAGGTGACATCGCGGGGCTGAGGGTCGCTCTCACCCAGAGGGGCTGAGGGCCTGTCTTTGGGGGGCCATTACAACAAGACAGGCTTCCTGACATCATGATGAGAACGAGAAGCTGGACCTGAGAATGAAGCTGAAAGGTAGGCTTTGGTCGACTGGAGCATTCAGTACATTCGTGTTGACATTTACCACTGTTACTCGGTTTGTGTGCTCCCCAAGGCTGTTCACAAGCATTGAAGTCTCTGTTTCTACTAACATTTCCCTTCCCCGCCCCTCTGAGTCCCAACGAGCCTGTCTTTTCCCACTATAAATCCATATACTCCATGCCCTGATCAAGGTATTATTTTTATTTTTGTGCCTATGGTTTGCTTCTGGGGGCTTCTGCATATTTAACAGATGATTCGCTCGGCCAGGACTCAGTCACAGCTTCTCCTTGGAACACGCCCCTTGAAGGCCCACAGTACCGGGCATGCTATTTTACATGTAAAAAAAGTCTTAACTACCGTCTATCCCAGGAGAGATGTTAGTTGGTTTGTGTAAGTTGGCTCATCTCAACAACTAACCATGTACCGCACTGAGGCAGCGAATGAGCGAGGCAGCCCCAGGTAACTGCGTTCGGACTGAATCCAAGCCGAGAGCCATGGGTGTGTTTGTGACAGCCCAGGCGGAAATGCAGTCAAATGAAATAGAAAACAGTTTAAAGCAACGTCCAGACCTTAATGCAGGACAAGTATGGTTGGTGGTAAGTGAGGCCATTTGTGACTTTTTAGATATAGAGGACTCCTGAGAAACATAATAAAGTAATATTTTCATTTTTCTGCTTTTTTCTCAGGATCTTTGGTTCTAAACATTTCTATCAGAGAGAAGTAAAAGTGGTGTAGGTAGGAGTCAGTCCTTTTAATAGTTGCTATGACGGAAAGAGTAAATATGCTCTATGCCTTTGAGTTGTTCTCTTCTATCACCATTTGAAGTGCTAGAAGTATTTCCATAGGCTAGTATTTCTCCCAATTTCCTGCTCATCATTACAGACTGCTCCCTGCTGACCCTCTCTGCCAGGGCTTAACCTTGAACACCTGTCCTGCAAGGCTTCCTCTGTGGCTGAAGGCGGGTCACCATGCAGCAGGGGCCGCAGAACCCACTGAAGGAGACGGAGCTGATATCCTGGAGGCCTTCCTGGAAGTGCAGGCCCAGGTGAGACCTGCTCAGAGCACTCCATCCAGTAATGCTGCACACCCCTTCCCTTAGGTAGCTTCCACTTTGCCTGTTGTACTTGCTGGTTTAAAAAACATGACAAAATCTCAACCTAGCTGGTTTGACTCAGTGGATAGAGTGTTGCTGGCTTTCAGACTGAAGATTCCAGTCAAGGGCACAGGCCCAGGTTGTGGACTCAATCCCCAGTAGGGGGCGTGCAGGAAGAAGTCAATCAATGATTCTCTCTCATTGATGTTTCTCTCTCTCTCCCTCTTCTTCCTCTCTGAAATAAATAAAAATATTTTTTAAGCTGAGACCGGTTTGGCTCAATGGATAGAGCGTTGGCTTGGGGGCTGAAGGGTCCCAGGTTTGATTCCGTGGGCATATCCCCAGTAGGGAGTGTGCAAGAGGCAGCTGATCGATGACTCTCTCTAATCGATGTTTCTCTCTGTCTCTCTCCCTTCCTCTCTGTACAAAATCAATAAAAAATGTATTTAAAAAATATGTTTTAAAAAGATGATAAAACCTTGAGGACCGCTGAGCTAGATCACCTTACCTTCCTGACTAAGAGTTGAAAGTAGTGGGTACTATCACCCTCCTTAGTGCCGGAGGGCAGCAGCAGCCTAGGGCACTATCGGGCCTAGTGGTGCTGGGAAGGGCACAGCCCTGCGCGGTACCTGGCATCGTCCCGTTCACATAGCCGTTGACTGTGTACATGACGGATGATGATGGGCTCCAGCTCTTGCTTTCATCAAACACAGCGAACATGAGCACCTGCTGCTTGTCAAACATCTTCTGACTCCCATCCTCAGTGAGGGTACCTGGGAAAGAAAAGACGTGTTTGTCAATAGCATCCCGGATAGAAAACTCTCATTTGCTGTTCCTAGGTAGCAGAGCTGAAGGCAAGCAACCAATCTTAGTGATGTCAATGTGGAGAAACCCTTGTTTTCAAAATAGCATCTTGCCCTGGCTGGTGTGGCTCAGTTGTTGGGCATCAACCATGCACCGAAAGGTTGCTGGTTTGATTCCAGTCAGTGCACATGCCTCGGTTGCAGGCTCAATCCCCAGTAGGGGATGTGCAGGAGGCAGCTGATAGATGCTAGCTTTCGGATTGATGTTTCTCTCTTCCTCCTCTCTCTCCCTTCTCTCCCTTCCTCTCTCTTTAAAAAATCAATGCAAATAAAAAAATAAAAGTAAATAGCATCTTTATCAAACAATGATGATTGGGGGCTTATTAAAATCTTGCTGCCACATTAACCATTTTCTCTGTGCCTCATAGCTTTGAGGAATGGGGCTTTAAAGGTGAATTTGAAGGGCATAGAGAAGAAACTTTTGGTGACATTAAGGTTTTAGCAAAAGTATCATCTCCTCCTGTGTCAGTAGACAAATACACAGGTACGAGAGCTTGGTTGGTAAGAGCTCAGCTCTCCAAGTTTTGTCCCACCACCTTGCTGTTCATGGAATGGCTCATCAGAGAACTGGTTGAGAGGGTCAAGGTGAATTCTCATTTAAGGACAAAATGCAGCTGAAAGTAAAAAAAAAGAAGAGCTTTTTATAAGTTTTAACTTTTTGTGTGCCATCCCAGTACCCTCTGTATAACAGGCAAGGAACACATGTGTGTGTGTGTAGTGAATAAATGAGTAGGAATTGATGTAGGGATGGTATGCATGCCTGTGCAGACAGATGGTGGGTTCATTCCATTATTTCTCAGAGTGCACTTTGTGTGATTGTTTGTTTTCATGAAAGATGAGCTGAATTCTTTTCAGGTAAAATAAAAATCCAAGCTTGCTCCTAGAAGCCTAGATGATGCAATTTCTTATAAAAGTCAGTGTATTTGCAACCTGCTGCCCAAAGTGTTCCACTCTGTATAAGAAAGGAAGCTAGAGTTTTGTGTGTTTGTAGACCAAATGACCAACCCAAACCTCCAACACGTTAGGCAAAGCTCCTCGCCAGTGCTATCAGCAGAGGGCAGGCTGCTGCACACTTGCAGAAAGACTTGGCTTAGAGGTAAATACGCAGACCACAGGGGCGTGGTCTCAGAACCAATTCCCAGACAAGGATTTACTCAGAGAGGCTCCAGGACTGAGACAGAGGAGGGATTGGAAGAACCAGAAGAGGACTCCAGACCCTCCAGTGCCAACATCCAACAGTGGTCTTCTTCCCACCCTCCCCCCTCTGCTCGATTTGCTGAGAGGTTCCAGGATTCCCCCAAGCCTTTCCAGTATAGTACTCCTTACCACTCCAACAGCTTTGCTAGTGTTGATTTCTTTTACCTTTCTTACAAATAAGCAGAGGTCCAATCAGCCCCGAGTTGAAGTCCTGTATCAGATTTTCATAGGAGTAGTAGATGTACGTGAGGCATGGCGGGTCGTCGGGTGTGGGCCCACTGTCCTCACTGATGGGCCACTGGTAGGTATATTCGTGGCCGGGAGCTATGGCATCGTCCAGCTTCTCTGCAGGGAACGTGTGGTCAGGGTAGGAGGCACCTGGAGAGGTAAAGGTCATGAGAACCCCTGGGCAGTGCGGAGGCTCGCTGTGCCATCACTGTCCAGCTGGAGGAACGTGAGGCCTCCGCAGAGATACCTGTGCCTTTCCACAGTGAGCCTCTGTTTGAAAAGATTCACATTGCACCCACTTCCCTGTCTATGTCATTAGTAAGGCTTTGAGTCCAGGTGATCTGAAGTGAATAAGACATGTTACTAGTACATTATTTAAGGTTTAGTATGTTAATTTCCCAGGGTCTCTAAATAATTATTATTCAAATGTAATCAGAGAATCGAATCATCTTGGAGCAGCGAATCATTTCACAGTATGAGAATGGGTTCTATCTTCTCTGTGGTGCTTGATGAGACATCTTCCATTTGACCGCCTGCTAGCATGGGGTGTAGCTATACGCAGAGCTGTTTATACATTGTTTTGTTTTGATCTGTAAGTTTTTCTCTTCTTCTTTCTAACTGCTGCCACCCTCAGCCCTGTCTTACGTTGTCACATCTCCATCACTTGGTTGTCAAAGTCCTTCCCCAGAGTCTTAGAGTCCGGCTCCCATAGACAGTCTAGTTGTCCTTATAGTATGAAATGTGTCCACCCTCTGAAATTTAGATATCTTGCTTTGGTCCTTGGTGTACCCAAACACCCGCCATTAACACTTTGATGCCTACTCGCTTTTCTCTGCTGGTGGGAGAGGGGGAGGATGTAGAAATTGGTCTTCCTTCTTGAAGAGAGGGAACTGAGACTCTGAAGATTAAAAGAATTGCAGAGGGTTGGGTGTGGCTTTGAACAACAGAAGGAAGCTGTGACTAGAGATGGAGCAAGTGGGGTCAGGAAGGGGAGAGGTCAGCATCACAGATAGCCAGCTGGGATGGGCAGCTTCCCCTGCTGGAGGCATTCCTCATTGATTGGGTGAAAGTGTCACCATCAACTGGTGCCAGAATTTCCCTTTGGGATATAATTATCTTTGGTACAAGAGCTTGATAAATTGCTTAAGGTGGAAGGTGAGACCTTCAAAATGTTTGTGTGGGCAGACAATTGGGTTAAAAACAACAATCCTAAAGTGTTTTATGTGGTAAAGAGCCAGTGGAAACTATTCTTACTGAAGTGACCGTACTCTGGGAAAAAAAAATGCTTTATTTTTTTCCTACCCTTTCCATGTTTATTTTCTTCTCCTTTTTATTCAAAATCCCCTTCCTTCCACCATCTTTCTTGAGTTATAAATTATATACAATAAAGGCACCAATTCTAAGTATATCTGCTAAGGTTTGACAAATGTGTTCAGTCCTTTACACAATCCTGGTACAAGACATCGATACACTCCAAATCGCCTACTTTCTGTGCATTCCTGGTCATTGCTGTCCCCGCCCTCTGCACCCAGATAACCACTGATTTGTTTGTCACTGTATTCTGTTTTCCAATAATGTCATAAAAATGGAATAATATATTATGAATATGCCCTTGTGCTTGATTCATGTTAGTATGGTTTTTCTTTTTTATCCTTTTTTTTATATTTACCTATCTTATCTTTAATTAAAAGTGGATTGCTTGAGTTCAGCATACATTTGAGTGTTGCTTTTTATCCAGACTTACAATCTGTCTCATAGTTGTATTGTTCTTCCTATTTGTTTTTAATATAATTAGTAATATAAATACCCATATGCCTGGGTATTTGTCCATCTGGTCTTTGTTCCTTCTTCTCTTCTTTCTTGATTTTCCTTGGGTTGAGTATTTTTTTATTCCTTACCTGAGGATATGTTTTTACTGATTTGAGAGAGAGAGGAAGGGAGGGAGGAAGAAAAGGAAAGGGAGGGGAAGAGAGATTTGGAGGGAAAGAGAGATTTGTGAGATAGAAATATCGATCCATTACCTCCCATACATGCCCCACCTGAGGACTGAACCTGCAACCTAAGTATGTGTCCTGACCTAGAATCAACCCCACAACCTTTTTAGTGTACAGACAGCACTCCAACCAATTGAGCCACCCAACCAGGGCTGGATCGAGTATTTTTCATGATTCCTGAATATCTCCACTATTGGCTTGTTAGCCTTGCTTTGTTTCCTACTCTGTAGGCAGAATGATCCCTTAAAATCCCAGATCTTACTTTGCCATGTTCCTGCTTAGAATCCTGACAATGATCTATCCCTATTTCTCTCTCCATTCCATTACGTGTGACTCTTTCCCCTGTACATTGCGTATCAGTCCCTCGGGCCCCTTTAGTTCCCTGGAGCACAGAGCTCCCTCCTCCCTCAGGGTCTTTGAGATAATGTTCCCTCTGCCCAGGGTGCTCTTTTTCCCTTTCTTCCTTGGTTAAGTGTGTGCTCATGCTTGATGTCAACTTAAATGCAAGCTTATTATTTCCCTGATCTCTCACTGCGCTATGCACATTATTTTTTACAACACTTGTCACGATTTTTAATTGAATATGTGTAATATTCCATGATTAATTTCATTTTATTCTTCTAGATCACATGTGTCAAACACAAGGCCCGCGGGCCAAATCCGTCCCGCCAGGCCTTGCAATGTGGCCCGCACCTCGCTGTCATCACTGCACTCCGCTGCGTTTCCATCACAATGACAGTTTATGACTGTTCAGTAAACCATTTGGCCCGCGATTTAGGCTGGATTTTAGATTTTGGCCCCTTCTCTGATTGAGTTCGACACCCCTATTCTAGATAATAATTATTTGCCTCTTGCACATGTGACCCGAGTGAGGTCCTCAAAGACAGGTGCTGGGTTGCGTTTGTCTTAGAATCTCTGGTGCCTGTCACAGTGCCTGGCACGGACAAGAGCTTGATGACTGAGTATGGAATTCTTAGGATTTAAGGTCCTGCAGCTAGAACCAAGGTCATCATGTTACTCATGGGTACATTTCATTGGAACTGCACAGTGTTAAAACAAGTTCAATGCCAACATGAGAGATATATAAGAATCTGGATTGCTGGTTTCTCTTAAAAAACAAACACACAAACAAATGAAATCTGGACAGGGTGACACTGACCTAAATCCTGCCTAGAATTGGCCTGGTCCTAAATCCTGATGACCCTTCAGATAGGACACAGGTCTGGCCAACAATGCCTTTTGGACTTAGTTCTCATCAAGTCACCCACCTGGTGGCCAGAATATCTGAGTGTGTGACCTTTGTACTAATAAGAAGCTTCCCTGGGATTTTGTTGTAGCTTTCCTTTTCCCCAAAAGATACTATGACATCGATAACCAATCTTTGCTATAGACTGAACTTTCACTCTGTTGATAAGAAGGATTTCAGTGTAAAATTATCAGGGGCTGAGAAATGTTAAAAGCTCAAATGACATCCTGTGAGTAATAATATAATTTCAGTCTAAATCAGTGGTCAGCAAACTGCAGCTCGAGAGCCACATGCGGCTCTTTGGCTCCTTGAGTGTGGCTCTTCCACAAAACACCACGTGCGGGCCCACACATACAGTGCAATTGAAACTTCGTGACCCATGCACAGAAGTCAGTTTTTGGCTCTCAAAAGAAATTTCAATCCTTGTACTATTGATATTCGGCTCTGTTGACTAAAGAGTTTGCCAACCACTGGTCTAAATCAAACAGGAAAAAAAGCATTTATGAGGAAGAGTCTCTGTTGCTCAACAGGAAGGATTATCTCTGGAAAGTTGCAAAACAGCTTTTGTAGCAAAGCACAAACAGGGCAGATAAGGGGAGCCGCCCTCTCAGGGTGGACTTGTCTATTGACTGAACATGCGTGGCGAGTTGTCCACAGGGTCCACCTCAAACCCAGCTGCAAGCCCTCAGTCAGTGCCTCATGCTTCATGGCCTCATGAGGTTAAGAAAGAATATTTCTGGACACGATGCATCCAGTGTTTCAACTGTTGAAACAGCACAGGGAATGCCCACAGTAGAAAATGGCATTCTTCCCATTGCCTTCACAAGCTCTCTAAAGGACAAAACGTGGTATTCTGTGGAGGGTGAGAGAGAACATTGGAAGTTCTTCCTCGCTTCCTTTGGATAAAGGCATGCTCCTTCTTCAGATATCAGCTTCAATGTCAGTTTACTCATTCCCTGGTCTCTGATTATACATCTCACAGTATAGATGTGTATATGTCTGTATATCATCTGTGATTATGCTATGAGTATATATACACATAGAAGCATTATGTATTATATTTGTAAAACAGCATCCATCACAATTTTAGTTAAATATTTGTGAGATTACATGATTAATGATATTTTTTCCCACTTTATTTAAGAGAAAGCCCAGGAGTTTTGGGGTCAGAACTATAATTTTTGGTTGTGCCACTTGCTAAATGCATGAACTTAGGAAAGTTTCTTAGCCTCCCTTTTAGCCCAAGTTTTCTCATTCATTACTACATAATATAATCTTTTTTTTTCTAGCAATAATATTATTATTTTTAATGGGTATGAAGACCAGAAAATATATGCAAAATATCTGGCATCTAGATGTGTGACTGCCTGCAGTAATACACCTCAGTATTTGGGTTACTTCCTTTCCCAGCCATTTTACAATTGATATGGCCTCTTGCTTTATGTTTCACTTCTGATAAGATATATCTTAAGTGCTCTTGAGTTCTCTTAACACATGTGAGAAAGATTAAAGGTCATGATATATTTATTCTAAAGAAGGTAAAAACTGGCAATAAGATTATGTAATTACTCATAACCACCAGTAAGATTAGTAAATTCCAGAGCAAGGGAAAAATAACACATAGTCTCCACTTTCTAATCCAGTTCTCAGGTCCTCGGTTTAGCTCAGTACTCATCATCATCTTCATCATTATCATTATCACCATCAATATCACCATCACCACCACAATCATCATTGTCACCATCACCAACATCAACATCACCATCATCATCATCATCATCATCACCATATCACCACCATCGCCACTACCATCATCATCATTGCCACCACCATCATCATCATCATCATCATCACCACATATTACAATCATCACCACCACCATCATCACCATCACCACCACCATCACCATC